TTTATGCATTCAGTGCCAAATCAAATTAAACACCATCCAGCAAAGCGGCAAGAGTCACGCATCCGCCCACCAATTGCAATTCAGGGAGAGGATAGGACGTGCCAAGGCGAAACCGCAGAACTAGGGTCTTGGATCCATTGGATCCACCCAGACCGCAACAGCCACACCCCCAAAACACACATATACAGTCCTATTTCGAAAACACACACGCAACCAAAAGGTCGGTTAGCCTAATTCACATTTAAATGGCCCTCTGTCTGTGGATGAGAAGGTTTGGCTAATGAATCAGCATTCATGGGCCAAGAGCAATAGAACTTTACCTAATAGCTGCTGTTCTTCGTCCATATTTATTTATTTTTTCTTTTTTGGCCAGCAATTTGAGCTTAGAAAACAAAAATTAGCCTTCTATTGAAGAGTTCTGACCTGCTGCGGTCCAACATGGCGTATACTCGTTGCCGTTACGGTCGAGCACTTGGCCCTTGATTGAAGTTGAAGAATGCAAGGATCCCTGCACTCCATCTAATTGCATTGCAACCAAATATCCTATGGCTTTTCGTTTTTTGGGCATTCAATTAGTAAAGTTTCCTCTGAACCTCAAGTTTTGATTCGCACTTTTGTTTCCTTGGCTCGGCTTTTACTAAACGTTAATTTAATTTTCAGCTTGTTATTTGGACAACAGCTTTCGGGGCCACTGACATAAGACAAGCCACGACAAGCCACCCACAAAATTTTGAGCAAAACTTTTCACTTACTTTGCTTTTACTCTTTGATTAGGTTTAATAGTATTTCTAAGAAGTTTAGGAATCTAATTTGCTGTCAGTAGGAGAGAGGTTTATAATGTTTTAAAATTCAGTGGTTAGTGGAAAGTGCAGAGATTTGTTGATAATAATTTGATAGGTTTTAACTAAGTGTTTTAATATATAAATAATATAAAAATGTGTTGGTAAGAGGAGTATGTGAGAGGGTATTCCTAACTTTGTGCTTTTAAAATCCCAGTTCTTAGTACGCAGTTTTAGTCATAAACAGATGTTCATCTTTATGACCGTTTCATTAAATGTTTCAGCATAAGCAAAAATTAGAGATGACCTGAGGTTGATAAGAACATAAAACAAAGAAGAAGATGAGCAGGAATTAATTGGATTTTGATGTACATTAAAACAAATCTAAACAAGCCACTTGAAAAGTAATAAATGTTATGAGAAATATAAACTAACACTGATAAACATTATTAATGCTGATATCCCATTCATGCAGTGTTGGTTATTTATAACTCAAGCTCAGCTAAAACATATATTTTGTTAACATAAATCTTTAATACCTTCATTTTCGATATGATATATATATATCTATTGTGCGTCCAAGTTGGTCCAATTATATATAAATGATGACAAACGCACGAATATAATACGCTGCCATCTTAGTGTAGGAAGAGGTGCTCAAGTTGAAATATGAGAGCGACACGCTGGGCATCAAAATTCCCGAAAAAGCAGCGGAAAGAAAACTTTTATCACCCCCAAAAACCCGCCGCCGTGCGAATCCCTTCAAGTGGCAAAGGCAATAAACACGGGCGTAATCATTAATCATGCGCGATCAAAGTCAAAGATACAAAAAACAGACACACGTACGTATAGAGGAACACACTGAGACCGAACCCACTGACACACTAACACTTGCACTCACGCTTATTCAATCAAGTGTACACTGAGAAAAATATATTACCAAAAGATGTTTTGGTTTTTAAATATAAACAAAATATCAAAGAAAAATTCATTCATTATTCAAAAATTGAATGAGAAAAATTCACTTTAAAATTATAATGGCAAAATGTTAATTATATAAATATTAACTTTGCTTATTTTTGTTTGTGCAGAATTGTTTGGCGAACAGTCGTCGCTTTCTGTTTCTGGATGGATGGTTGGGGGCTACTTTAATCAATTTCAAACAACAAACACAGAACACTTGGAAGCTCATCGTTCAAAGAACACAAGGTTCTTTGGCCAAATATTATTGTATATAAATGTTTATTAAAAGAACGAAAAGAAAAGAAAGAAATAATATAGCTGGGGGCTTGAATGGGTATATTGGGGGAATTTTTGAGTGATAAATGCCCGCGGATAGCAAACAGGCGACGTCACATTTGCCAAATTGGAAATATTAAAACAACAATTTTTTATATTTTTTTTTTTTAGTATATAATACGTATACGTACCCTAGACATTTGTGCACCTTTAAAACTGCAATTAAAACAAAAAAAAACACACACACACAGAAATAAAAAGAAAATTTATGAGTTTCCGTTGTACCCAGTCCTTCGTTTGCAAAAGTTGATAATTATGATAATAAGTTAAGTGCAAAAATTATGATAATTGGCCGACGAGAAAGCTACGCCCTCGCTTTCAGTGCATTCTCCAGTGGAACGAGAGCAAAATATATTAGCAAGTGCGAATGAGATTGCTCATCCGCCGCGTTCGCCGGCTAGCTATAAAAATATTGCAATGCTGATTTTCAAGGAAATGCACATTACACAGCCATATTTATGGCTTATGGCTAATGGCTAAACTGCAGATAATTTATATAATGTTTACCTAAGCAAATTAGATGCAGGGTGCCAAAGGCTTTCCTAGGGATCATTTCAGCTAGGATTGTTTACAAAGTGGTTAGAATATATGTAGAAAATTTATATTGGAATACCTGAAATTGTGGGTTCCAAAAAGCTATTACTCGGCTGGTGGCTTTTCTTTTGAAAAATTAAGAAAATGTTTAATTTTCAGTTTGCTGATGTAATTGTAGAATGAAAGTAAGGAAAGTTACTTAGACAAATACTTTGTATTTAACTTCATTTTTTAGGAATATAATATTAAAAATAACATAAAAAGTATTATCTCATTTGAGAAATCTGCAATTGAATATTTGCCAAAATCATAAACAAACTTGAACCTAATCTTAATATGAATTTAAGCAGCCTGCAAATCGCTTTGTTTATTTATTTCCATTCGGCTTTATTTTTCCACCGCTGCTGCACTAAACTGAAGCACCCCTCGCGGCAATGGCGAAGCGTAAACAAACCCACTTGGAAAAAAAAAAAAAATGGTAAAACAAAAAGCGAACACATGAACCGGCGAGCAAAGCCAAACAAAACAATTCTCACAAAAAAAAAATGAAAAATAAAAAAGACGAGAACTGAACCCATCCAAAAACCCAGCAAAATGCGGCAGAACAACAATGGATCTCTGTATATTTATTTATGAGTAGTTTCAGCGAGTGCCCCCGCCTCTTTGAGTGTGTGTTCCGTGGACTGGGGTCAAACGCGTGGTCGCCTTTCCCTAGTCGTTCATTGTGCAAATGCGAAATTCCACAAGTGTCCACAATAAAAACGAGACTGAGGTGAAAATGACAATGAATTTGAGTTGGACTTGAGGCTTATCAGTGGCTTTATTATATGTCCCATCTAAGGTCTTCTAGCAAGGCCAAATGAAATGAGAATTTTCTAGGAATTATTAAAGTAGACTGTGGAATAGATATAAAAATTTTATAAATTTTTAAAAAATTTAAATAATGCTAAACAAGTCCTAAACGTTATAGTTATATTTTTAGATTTTCTGTCTTTTTTGAAATCCATTTTTAGCTATTTATTTTCACAGATTTCCTACAGAAATCGAAATAAGACTTTCCCCCTCTGTAAGTCTGGACTTTCTCATAGCTTTAAAATAAATCTTCACTTTCCATAAACACAATTTCAAAGTGCAATAATAATAAATAATTTCCAACGTTTGTTTACCATAATACTCTGCTAACACTTTGATATTTGTAAGTGATTTCTATTGAAAGAAAACAGATATTTAAGAAGTCTCGCTGTATTTATTGAAGGGTAAATTCTGAGAGTTAATTCAATTTAGTTTCTGTTTTGACTGAGTTCAGTACTCGATTTCCTCGAACCGAAGTTTATTTATGTTGACTCCCACTTCAAATTAAACGGACACAATTTAACTTGGCCCAAAGATGCAACCGTAGCAAAAACTTTTAGGAACTTGAATGAACAACGTTGGCGCCAAAGTGTAGTTAGTTCGGTAGCTTGACAAAAGCAGAATAAACTTTTTCTCGGTCGCCGTCAATGGGAAAAAGGCAAAGGACGAACGGAGGGTGTCGCATGTCGCATGCCTTAAGGATATGCGAGAACTTCAACCGAGTCTCAGCTTGACATACTGACATTTATTTCACAGAGATATGAAGACTTACAAATATTCTTCTTAAATTTTGCCAAGCTTTAAACTAGAAAGTTTCCTAAGCTTAACTAATAGAAAGTTCAAAATATATTAACTTCTTTTAGGAAAAATCAAATACATTTTTGGATAATTAAAGAATTTTTTACTCTACTTCGTAATCACCATTTAATTAGAAGTAATTGCTAGAAGCTTAATTTAACTTCTACGCATTTTTGTGAAATTACTTTCTTTATTTTCTTTTTAGTGTAATGTTATCTTCTCAGGCTGTTTCACAGAAAAAGTTACTTTTGTTTCGTTCTCAAGTGTGTTGGTTGGTAACTTTTCTAATTGCTGCATAGACACTTTCAAGCGAAGCCCACAAAAGCAAAACATATTTACATACAGAGGCACATACGTTGTGCTTTGTACAAACAACTGCCGAGGAAAGCGATGTGAAAATGCTTTAGGAAAATGCTGGGTCTAAAGCAACATTTAAGAGAATCAAACTAAACAATAAGTTCGAAGCTGTCACTTGTTACATCTTGAGTTTCCTTTTGATTTTAGTTTGCCAACGGTAAAGTAAGCAACTAAGATGAAAATCAGATGGTAAAGTAAAATCTAGGGTACTGTGTTATGATTATTTTTGGGATTTTCTATACTAAAACATAAAAACATATTGAAAAACTAACCATTTTTTATAATAAATGGCACTTAATAAAAACACAATTACTTTACAAATGGAAATCTCTGAAACTAAACCTCTACTCACTCTCGATTTTCCGTTACGTTTCGCTTCAGTTAGTTTTCTCCATTTCCGCAAGGAAGGAAGGAAGTTGGCAACAAGTGTTGGATCCCCAAGAGCAGAAATCACGGATACTTTGGGCCAGGGTGAGGCAATCAGGACGCGCAGCTGGCGGCTGTAAGGAGGAGGAGTGCCACTAGTTTTCCGCCCAAACGTTTTTCGCCATGGTAAATCACAATGGGGATTCTGCGAAAACGGAAAATGGCACAAGTGCAACGAATCTGATTGTTAAAGCCGACGGAAATGCAATGCAGACCAAGACGATGACGTCATCGGCGGCTAAGATGACGGAGGCCCTTTCGGCATCTTTGGCCGATTTGAGCGAGCAGGAGAATGGAACCACGGGTGAGTGTGAAAATCTTTGTTAATCCTTGAGTGGGAAAAGCTTCTTCAAATCAAATTAGTTTCACAAAGGGAACATTTCTGTGTACAGTGGAGCCTTGAAAAAAGTAACTGCTGTGAGGAAGATATTCGCATTTCAGTGCTAAAGAGAAGTTTTCATTACTTAATTCGAATGTATGTATGAACATCCTTCGACACTTATTTCACAAATTATTGCCTACTTTTTGGTGTCAAAGAAAAAAGCAGGAGAGCAGGAAAAATTTAATAAAAACAAATATTTTATTCTTCCCTTTAAAATGCGTTTTAAAGGTTTTAACTTACTCAATGTCGCCTGTAAATTTTAATTTTTGGTTTCGGTGTTGGTCTATTAAATGAGCCTCGGGCTCGGTTGCCATTCATCTTTTGACCAGCTCAGGGCCATATTCGCTGGTTGCCTTGGTTTGGTCTTTAAATTGAATTGCCCAACCCCGAATCCTGGCCAAGCCCCTGCCCCTTAAATTCTATCCCCTGACTGGCTGATGTAACCCCGTGCGCTACTTAATTTGGGCTTGTCACGATAACATCAGGCTCTTCCCATTGCCATTTCCACTTCCACTTCCACTTCCAATTTCCACTGACGGCTGCTTTCTTTGGGCCAATGCGCGTTTGTTGTTTTAATTAAATTTACCCTACTCCGGGCACAGTTCATAATGATAACAGTAATAATGATGACAAAAAACAGTTACTTTAACTATTCATTTTTGATTAACTTGTATCTGTTAAGTGGGTTAACTTAGAAAAGTCAAAAGTCAAAAGTCAAGTTCTGCTTTGAATAATACTCAACATTTTAATGGAATTTTAAATTCCTTTTTTTAATTTAATACCAATAATAATCGAAAGCGATATTATGTATTTTTGTGCAGATAATGAGTTTTTTCCTGACTCCCTATTCCTTTCACAACGACATCTGCAACGTTCGCAAATATCTTTATCATTATAATACTTCTCGTTCACCAATATCGCGCAACCCACTTTCGGTGACCAAAAACAGCAATACTCTTTAATGGGATCTAAACGGTTAGAGTTGGTTATAAAAATGTTATCTTTCAGTTCTTACATACATTTTACTTCGTAGCATTTCGGCATGCATTTCGGGAACGCACTTTCATAGAGACATCTGTTTTTCAAAAGCGATTTTCGGTCCGATTCGTGACAATAGGATCCTGTGACTTTGCCATTATCGTTAACAATACCCGAGCAGTCTCCACAGTCATATGTATCATTACCCGCTAAGATATATAGATAAAAGGAATGTTGAAATTTCTCAAGGTTAAAGTACTTACACGAACCGTGTCCCAAAGAATATATGTGCTGTATTAGGAAAACTAAGAGGTAAAGCGATCTTTTCATTCTCATTATAGTATAATTCAAGGAATATTTTTATTAATATTTTGAAAGCAGTGTCAAAGTCAACTTACGTAACTCGAAGATGTTGAGATTTCTTGAATAGTTTTAGGTTCACATATCCCATAACTGCTCTTAATAAACAAAAATTGTGAAGAACAGAAGAAGTAAAGACAAGATGTCTCCTGTATTCTTATCCTTTGAGCTAGTGTCATCAACATTATCCTGCGGAGAAGTGCAAAACTCTCGGCACAGATCACAGACACGTCTGGGAAAAGTTTTACGACTAGCAAGTACAGAACAGCCCGATTCCGGTGACCAAAAGCAACAAAATTCTTTTATATCCCCTAAAATTATAGATTTAACATTCACGAATGGTTATATATTATCATTAGATTCCATGGCAGACTTACGAGTTATTTCAAAATTATTTGGTACGCAATCCTGAAACTTATTCTCATTAGATACAAATTTGGCTCGAACTGCTGTATCATCCTCATAATGACACTGATAACCCGTTTGATTGCGGTGGCTATTTTGTAATGTCAGACAAACACCACAGTCAAAGTCTTAAAATAAATAAATATCTAAGATGAAGCTTAATTTATTAAAATATAAATAAGATATGCCTACTATTATTGGTAATGCTGCTTCCCTGAACCAAAATTAAAAGTAAAAGAAGGATTAACATTTTTTATTTACGGAAATTTCAAAAACTTTGAGAGTTATATCTTTGTGTACGTAGGTGCCATTCAGTTGTACGTTTTAGGAAACTTTTATTTCAATTTACAAACAATTATAATTCAATAAAAGTTTATCCATAGTCTGCTAGTATTACTCAATTGTGTTCTCTATGACACATCCAAAGTACGACCAAAGCCATCGCAATTAAGCATCCAAAGGCCGAGTTCTTATAACTTCCGTCCTTATCATCAAAAAAGTTTTTCGATCCAAGACAATATTCCTTGCAGACTTGACAGTACAGATTCCTTTTATCATAGTAAAGCCTACCAATAACTTCTGTGCATCCCGTTTCTGGCGACCAAAAGCAGCAAAAATGGTTTATATGGCCTGTTAATTATATAACGTGGAATACCTCTTTAAAAATATTGGTTAAATTGTTTTATTTTTAAACTTACGATCTAATTTGTAAGCGCTTGGTAGGCATTCTAGTTCTGACTTTTTATTAACGTCAATTAGCCAAACTTTAGACACTGCAGATTCATCTGCAGAATGGCAAGCGAAGCCCAAACCTGCATGATCATTTCTTACTCTTGAACAATTTCCGCAAACAGGAAACTGTAATCCTCCTTCAGCTGATTAAAGTATTTTGTATGTATTTTGATGGCTGTAATATGAATATTCATTATTTTATTAATTTACCTACAGAAAAGGGATCCGATTCAGCTTTGAGATGCATTCCTTGTATCCCAAAGGTAACGTAAACAACTACCGTAAATAATATCATCGTAACAAAATAATTTTGCAAAATTAAATGAAAATTTTGTAAAGTTATAGTCTGGCTACTTGACAAGTTTCACTCTGGCAAATTTAATATATTTTTCAAATATACAACAAATACAGCTATACTTTACTTAACCACAGTCTGCTAATATAACTCAATTGGGTTCCCTTGGACCCATCCAGAGAACGAACAAAGCCATCGCAATTAAGTATCCAAATGCAGAGATCTTATAACTTCCGTTCTTATCATCAGCAAAGTTTCTCGATCCAAGACAAAAATCCTTGCAGACCATGCAGTAGAGTCTCTTTTTATCATAGTAACGCCTGCCAATAATTACCGCACATCCCGTTTCTGGCGACCAAAAGCAGCAAAAGTTTTCTATATCGCCTATTAATTATATAATGTACAATACTTGTTAACCATTATGGGTTAAATTGTTTTATTTTTAAACTTACGAACTAATTGGTAAGCGCTTGGTAGGCATTCTAGTCCTGGTTTTTTATTAACGTCAATTAGCCCAACATCAGTCACGGCAGAATTATCTGCAGAATGGCAAGCGAAACCCAAGCCAGACTGAAAATTTCTTACTTTTGAACAATTTCCGCAAACAGGAAAGTGTAATCCTCCTTCAGCTGTATAAAGAAAATATGTCTTTTTATGGCTGTAATATGAACATTCATTATTTTTTTTAATTTACCTACAGAAAAGCGGTCCTTATCAGTTTTGGTATGCATTCCTTGTATCCCAAAGGTAATGCAAAGAACTACCGCAGATAATATCATTGCAAATCAATGAAAATATCTAATTTATTTAGGTTATTGTCTGGTTATTGACAAGTTTTACTCTGGCAAATTTAATATATTTTTCAAATCAACTTTTTCCTTTTTGGATTAGACTATAACTAAGACTAGTATACTTAACCACAGTCTGCTAATATAACTCATTTGAGTTCCCTTGGACACATCCAGAGTACGACCAAAGCCATCGCAATTAAGTATCCAAATGCAGAGATCTTATAACTTCTGTCATTATCAGCACCTAATTGTTTCGTTCCAAGACAATAATCCTTGCAGATCTGGCAGTACAGATCGTCTTTACCATAATAACGCCTGCCAATAATTACCGCACATCCCGTTTCTGGCGACCAAAAGCAGCAAAAGTTAGTTATATAGCCTGTTAATTATATAAACTATAAACACTATAGATTAAGTTGTTTTATTTTTAAACTTACGAACTAATTTGTAAGTTTTTGGTATGCATTCCATATGTGAATTTTTAAAGACTTCAACTTGCTCAACACTAGCCACTGCAAATTCATCGGCAGAATGGCAAGCAAAACCCAAACCAGACCGAACATTTCTTACTTTTGAACAATTTCCGCAAACAGGAAACTGTAATCCTCCTTCAGCTGTTTAAAGTATTTTGTATGTATTTTGATGGCTGTAATATAAATATTCATTATTTTATTAATTTACCCAAAGAAAAGCGCTCCTCATCAGCTTTGGGATGCATTCCTTGTATCCCAAATACTATAATGTAAGAAACTACCGTAAATAATATCATCGTAACAAAATAATTTTTCAAAATTATATGAAAATTTATTAAAGTTATTGCCTGGTTACTTGACAAGTTTCACTCTGCAAATGTGATATATTTTTGAAATCAACTTTTGGGGACTATATCTTGGACTATACGAATCCGGCTTTCCCTTTTCACTGCAGATTTTCTGCATTGCGTTTGCTTGTCAAACAGAGTGAAGTGGCAACATAAATGAAGTATATTGTAATCACTAAAAGCAAAGCTTTATAAGTAAAATCGATGCTTCTCAACGATTTTTCTGATCTCACCAAAAAGTGTGCCTGTTATAATCCAGAATAAAATACAGTAAGTCTGACCGTAGTTTATGTACGGATTTGTCTCCTGAGCAGTACTTATCCAGGCATAAAGAATCAGGTAAATTGCGTTAAATAACTCATTAAATAGGTATATCCCCATGGCGTAGCAATTAGCCTAAAAATGTTAAATTATTTATAGGCTATCCCTGAGTTAGCTTTTTAAACTTGCCCTCAGCAAATAATAAAACAAAGAAAAACCGGCAAGCAAATGCGTGGCTCCGATCATAACGTTATACCAATCTGAAAAACAAGGTAAAACATGAATTTAAAGAATTGATAATATAGAACAGCTTACAAGAATCATCCTTATAGTCATTTTCATCGACTAAGCCTGCAATATAGAAAATTTAATGCCAACCAAAGATATATATTTTATATAATCTAACGATAGAACTCCGCTAAGTATAAGATACCCAGGAATAGAGTGAACAGTGCTATAATAATGCAGCCAGTTCGCAATTTTATACAAAAGCAACATTTTTTGGCTAGAAACATTTTACAAACTTAATTTTAGTTTTTCGTTTTTTTACATTTTTTTGTAAATTTGACGGTAAAACCAGAGGCAGTTATAAAAATTGTGTTTTACGTAAAAATGAAATTTAGATTTCTTTTAATTTTATTTTGCTAAGATTTACCTATAAGTTATTTACATTCTCAGTTTCTCTCTCTCTTTCCTTAAGCTGTCGATAGCACGAAAAAATGATGTACAAAAAATATGCTGTTAAAGCTGAAACAAAGAAAATATTTAAAGAATTAAAAAAAATATTTCATATTTCTCACCCAGCCAGATAAGCACGTATATCCAATAGGTTATATTATGCCAAAAGCTGATATTTACGATTAAATTTGATCCGATTGAAGCTGAAATTATACTGAATAAAATAAGATATACGCCCTGAACGACTTGAAGGGACAGAGTTGCCCAAAACAGCCAAAAATATTGCTAAATAAGTGTACTTTTAATAACTGACATTTGTTATAAAGTAAGACTCACCGTTATTATAGCGAAAAGTAGCAAAACCGATGCCACGATGGTCAATAAATCAGTGACCAGTTGTAGGGAAGTAAAGAGCACTGCTTCTAGATAGCCAAAATAAATGCTAAATAAATGAATTAATTCATTTTGTATGTTACCTGGGAATTTATATTGGACTTCTCGTTTATAAGTGTCTGTTAAAATGTTAGAATTATTACAAGAATTTATTATTTACTCTTTATTTACTATTAAACAGAAAGAATATATAGTCAATATTCATGCCAGACAAAAATATTTCGAAAATTGCAATCATTATACAGCCCATTTGCAGAGACAAACAGAAGCAGCATTTTTTGGCCAGAATCATACTTTAAGATGTTTTGACAAGAAATGCAAAATTAACTAGTCTCTATTAAGTCAACTTTTTTTAAGGTATTCCCAGAAGTCCAATTGTTTTCTGTTGAACACACGGCGTATACACAATTTATGAACATTGCTGAAGTTTTGGGAAAAAATTTGTTTGATTGCTTGGCCAGATGTTGGTGGCAAACTTAAACGAAATTGCCTACATCTCATTTGGCGGCATATCCTCATGACTCTGATATGGGGGGGGAGTATTAACTTTTTTGCATAATTTCAATTTAAGCAATTTGTATTATGGCCTCATTAGCATTAGCCTAGAATTTCCCGCCCGATGGGTGCTTGTGTGTGTCAGGCACGCGTGGAATCGTTTTCAGTTCTCATCAAGATGCTAATGAAATTATAAAGAAAATTGAGTCTGCCATATTAGCACAGCCAGCACGTTATGCACGCTTTGACATTCACTAACTTGCTGAACACATGTCTTAAAGTGCACAGATCGAAAGGCCATTAATTACATGAAAAATACATTTTGATATTATTTTAATTTAAAGAATGAGTTGGTTTCGGTACCAAGCAGTATCATTTGTTAACACACGGCGGGTTGAATTCCTCTGGATGCTTCTTAACGTAATAATATGAATAGACCTTGATTATGCAATACAAATCTAAGCCTAAACAAACTTTTACAGTTACTCATAAGGGCTAAAGGACATTATAATAATAAATAGAGCTTACCTAGGGTCACGAGATTCACCAAGACATACACGGTTGCAGATAGGGCGCCTTTGAGGAAGGGATTGCGAACATTTATCAGTGCATTGAAGATGATATAGTATGCTATAATGTGTATTGCAAACATTGCCATCCATACGAAAACCACTTCTAAATATTTCTAAAAATAGTTAAGATTTTAATGACAATCAATAAGAGGACTTGTGGCTCACCGTCATCACAGTAATCAGCAGGATAACTGCCGCCGCAATCATCAGAGCTATATGAAATACATTAAACCATTTTGCATATACATCAGTTTTGAATGCTGTCATTTGATGGGAAACTTGATTTATTTAAAACTTCTTTTTATTGCCTTTTCGAACTTACTTTTCGTGTATATAACTTCATCGACAGCGGTGCCAGCGTTGAGGAAACCAAAAAATAAGGTGTAGAACGAAATTATAATGCATCCAGATGTCAGGGAGAGACAAAAGCAAAACTTTCGTCTGATCAGCTTTCTTAAAAATTGCATTCAAAAAAAAAATATTCGTTGCTATAAATTTTCTATAAAAAATCCCTCATCTTTGACAAATAAATCTCAACTCTGTTAAACTTGAAAACTTCTTAAAGTTGAAGCTCTTAATGATTATATACAAAACCCATCAGCTGGTGAAACACAATCGTTGCATCTCCTCTTGTTTTAGGTCACTGCAGTCCATCTTTTCCCACAAAGTTTCAAACGACCTCGACTCTGGCCGAGAAACTTTAGCTTTAGCAGAAAGTTGGACAAAGTCCCTTGGCCTTTTTTGCACATCCACCACTGAATAAAGCCAAATGGCTGCCTTTCTTCTTCGCTTTTTTTTATTTTTTTTTGCTTAAAACGTTAATTGAAAGCAGCAGCCGTCTAAAAAATGATGCTTCCAATCGATTGGCAAATAAAGGAGTTTTGGCTTGTTTAGAGAAAGGAAACTCTTAAAGTAGCTCTGCTTAAATGGGTAATTAAAGAGGCTTCTGCTTGCTGGAGTTATAGAGAAGTATCAGTACTGGTAAATATGTTAAATTAAGACTTAAAAACTGTCAATTAACCTTTATCAAAATCAAAGCAAACTCAAATAGAGTATACCCCTGAAAGACAATATTTCTTTGAAATGACATTATTACCATGTGGTTTCCTAATGAGGCTAATCAGATCAGTGTATTGTTTTCCCAGACTTCATTATCTTGCTGAACCATATGGTAGCTTCAATTTTGATTGATTACAGCATCAATTTATTTGTCATTAATACCCCGATATCAAATTGGGTAAGCAACGTGTTGATGGCCCATTAAACGTCAGTGAAAGAAAGACCAGACAGAGGAGTAAGTTAAAATAGAGAAAAAAAAAAAGGCAATGTCACATATCATAAGGCTCGTTAAAGAGTCCTCCTCTTGCCAATAAATCGATCGATGGCAGGACCAGGACCAGGACCAATACGAATCTCTTTCATCCCCTGCCACCAGCCATTGGCAAGCTCATCTATCATCATTGGCATGAGGAGACCTTTCTATCCGAGAATGCTTTTACAGTATCCTGTATCCTGTATCCTCCTTGCTGCTGCCCTCGTTTGACACCCTAACACCCCATCTGGCGTATTTATAGCATCTTAATTGAATTTCAATTTTCAATTTCGCTTTTAATTGAATTCAATGAAAAAGTGTCGATGAAACGGCATTCAGCATGGTCCCATACCCTCCCTCGAACACCCATTCCCCCAGCTTCGTTCCCCTGCAGTTGTTGTTGTTGTTGTTGATGCTGTTTATTCAGCTGCCAGTTGAACGCCGCCTGGCTGGCTCTTGATGGCGCCGTCCAGGCCACCAAAACGTCCCCAGTGGGCCCTCGTACCTGCACTGAGAAAAAGACTTTCCATGGGTTATGTGATGTTTATTCCAAATTTCTTATCTTAATATTTGTATGGTGATGAATTATCTGTTTTTTATATACCAACAAAAAGTGAAAGTTTTTCGATTAACACTAAAGTTTACTTGATTTTCTCTAAGTGCATATCTAAGTGTACTAAAACGAGCCACACAATTGGCTTGATGTGATTGCGCTCATATTTTGCACTCTGATTGGTTTGTGATTGACTGAAAAGTTGTAAATTGATTCGACTGTGAGGGAGAGAGTGGCTCAATGCAAGATAAACAAACCAATTTCGGTGGTTAGTGGGTTAAGCAATAAAGCACCAAAAAGTTTAACCCTCGCACTATGTGAACAATAATTATGGTCGGTTGTTTTCATGTTTTATTATGTTTGCCTAAAGATAAATTGGTGGCCATAAAATCGAATCTCAGAAATCGTAGAGGTTGTAAAAATGCCATTACCCTTCTCACTTTTATTAAAAATTCCAGAACAGCGTAGACATGTGCCACGTGCTTCATAATCCTGTTGAAAGCAAAAAAAAAAGTCTGTCACCAGCGTAGCGAGTCAGACAAATAGAAATTCAAATGAATGCAACTTGCATGCGAAATGAGAATTCCGGTGCACACACCTCCCACCAAGAAATGTCATAGCAGCTTCTGGGTTTTTGTATCTGTATCTGGCGATGAATCTGCATTTTGCTGGTGGTGTCTGGCTTATTATGCGACCACCACTCCTCAGCATTGCTTCTCGACCATCTGTTTATGAGTTGGCATTCATCATCATGTGTGAGAGTGTGCTTCTGAGGCTCAACCGATATGAGATTTATGCCACTCAACACAAGACAAAATATATCCCCAACAACAATAGAACCCATGTGAAATTTGCATGCTGAGGTTGAAGGTGACAACGGAGTAACCCCCCCCTTAGGAAATTCTCCACGTTTTTCCCATTTCGCGAAATTGGCCCCCAAAGATAAAGCCAAGCGAAAATAGCAACCAACAAAAAGATGTATGCAAATTACTTTGACAGTGAATATGCGCCCACAGCAATGCCAGCGTTTTATTGCTAAAATATGCACATTACGAATCTAGATCCAGATTTGTGGACTCCTTCCTGGAGAAAATTCACTTTGCATAGCTAAAAGAAATCATCGTTTAATAGCAAATTGATAGCGATATGCGCTAAATTCAATATTCAAGTCATGTCAACAGAAGATTTTTCATAATCGATTTGCAAGTTAAGTGGTTTATGGGTTCAGCGGTTGACATCTAGACGACTTTTGCGGGTGGAATAATGTGATTTAAATGTATTTTACCAACAAGCTAGCTCTGATAAGATTCTAAAGAGAAATGTATTATTAACCCCTTTTTTTACACATCTTTAATAAACTTTTCTGTAATCGATTATTTTCTTGAAAAACATTTTTAATGTTTATTACCTTTTTCTAAAAATAGTTTAACTGCTGGCTTGTAACCTTTTGGTTTAGAACCCAAAAGAGGGTCGGTCCAAAGGTAACTTAAGGGACTTCACATACTATTTGGCCATAACAGAAATTGAAAGCTTAAGCGTGTTGGGTCTTATAGTTGATTGGCTTGCGTGCCTTAGAACCGAAATAAAGGTAACAAGAAGCCACAACACACATGACAAAAGAAGTCACATTACTTAAGCTAAAGGATACCTGGTACTTAGTGAGGTATTTGAAAATATTTGAGGCTTACTTAAAACTACAAGTGGTAAAGATTTTAGAAAAAACTAAGAGTTTTGAGTATATTTTTCTACAAAAGAAAACCAAATGTATGTTATAACGTTCTTGCAATATACCCAGAATCGCTGTGATTACCCTCTAGAAAAAGTATCAACCCAAGCAAATGGGCACGGGATAGCTAAAAGAGCTGGCTGGAAAATAAGTTCTCGATGTCAACGGCAGACTGTTGAGTTGCGACTGGCTATGGCTTTTGTCTTAGCCATGACATTATTTACGAGCATCGTGCCAGCGACACGCACAGAAAACCAAATAAGCAGCTGCGTTCTTCTTTGCCAGTAGAACTACGAGGATACGGAGTATACGTGCCCCAACGGGTCGGCTTCGTTGGCACGTCTATTACCTTTAAGCGTCTGTTGCCAATTTGGCTTCCTTTTTTTCGCCACCGCATGGCCAACGGCTCTGTTCGCATTGACTGCACCTTGATTAATGCGCTGCCAGGATATGCTCTCTCTTCTTTTTTCCCAGCCATTCCAGGCTTTATCCTTTCAGTTTTTGCCATTAGCAAAAGCGGTGGCTACGGGCATTCGCATTGTTTCCGTTTCCGTTGTTGTATTGTCACCAATTTGTTCGGATGTGGCTTCTTTTTGTTCTGCCCGGAGGACTATTATTTTTTCCGAGCTAGGTGTTGATGATTCCTGTCAGAGAAGTTGATGTATCTGCTGCTTACGGTAATGGAAATAAGATGAAACTATGCCATCATTAACTAGATCCATTTCCTGAACACAAGAAATAGAAATTATTTTATTTAATGGAGTGGCCTAGAAGGGTTTAAATAGAAGGATTTAATAGAAATTAAATGTATTTTTAAACTCTACCTTTAGGCACATCTCAAAGTAAAGTAAATGGAGGCAAAGATGAGGGAACTCTCTCGTTTGCAGGTTAGAAAACTGTTGAATATCCGAAATCATAATGTACTAAAAACATGTTTTACAAGCGGGTATAGGGTGAAAACATTTGACCCACATCACCCCGATAAATTGCCACTCTTAACATGTGCGAATGGTTGTTTTCAGATAAACATAAAAGCTCCTCGAATACATCTTCGTATTGAATGGGCTATAAAATCAAAGTGAATGCAAACAAAACGCCCATCGAGTAGATCGCCCGACTAAGCCCCACAAAATGTGGCTCCACTCGGAATCCACTTCAAGGCTACGCGCTAAAATCGCCAACTTTCAAATCCTTGACAAGGACATGCTACTAGACTATGCTACCATGTGCCTTGGTGTCTGCCATCTGCTTGCCATGCGGCCCACGATTCAGCGCAAAAAGCTTGTAATTCCTGTCTCAGCCCGAAGGATGTAATTTACAATGTTGCAGCAGGTGGCGGTTGCAACTTGGAGTGGCTTGGTTTGGTCGGCTGTCAGGCATGTGCGGCATTTGCAGCTTGCATTTTGTTGCATTTTATGTTGTCGGCATGGGCCGACGGGTCGTATGTGCAATATTTTTCGTATCTCCATTGCCACTGGCAAATGGTGTTGCATACTTCCAGGCTGACTTAAAACATTAAAGTATTTGAAAAATTTCAATACAAAAGTTGGGGGCATACGTTTGGCCCAGTAAATGAAAACTGGCAGGAGCTAACGAGCCAGAGATAAAATAAATAACGAAACCATAAAATCCAACAGGTATTTAAAGTTTAAGCAAAGCTGCAAATACAAATACACATGCGTTTGTGCAGAACTCTATGCAATTTCAATTAAGAGTTATGGAAAAACTGTCAAAACCACAAAACATAAATCACTTAAATGTTCAATTGAGAGCTATAAATTGTTTAATTTTTAATTGTAACTGATAATGGAGTTGCAGGCAGCTAAAAAATAGATAACGAGTAAAGCTATTCTAGCGGTGAGAATTTTAGATTATTCTCTAAAGCAAAAGCACGTGGCAGAAATTTATATTTGATAAATAAATTGAGTTACCAACACATTAAAAATACAAAATTAGAAGTTATAGAGATATTTACAGATTACGTTTATATAAATCATCGAACTTGCCTTGCTCTAAAGTTATTAAAGTAATTCGAGCGTAAATTTTTATAAAAAAAAAAAATGTATCGAATTTTTTACACTCACTTGAATCTAATTCGTTCTCCTACTAAATTGCGTTGCCCTTGTGGCTGTGGGATGCAGTTTCGAGGAACAGCTTCACCACTAAGCCGGTTACCCAATAGCTTAACCCGAGGCATGGATTTAAGCCATCTTGGGCTTCTGTTCAAGGACTGCTCTGCATCTTTAATGTGATGACAGCCCACATGAAAATTCGTTAGCAACGAACTCAATCTCCCTAATCGCCAGCCCCCCTCCCCCTCCCCTTCTCAATGGCTTGCCAGGATGCCTTGACAATGTGTCCGCACATACTTAATCGTATGGGAGGGGGGCAAACGTTGTGGATTTCAGCGTTTCAGCTTAAGGATGAAATAAAATCTATGCCAAAAGCTTCGGCAATGTCGCTGTTTGCTGTCGTGTCTTCGTCTAGGTTGTCTGCAACTGTTTCACTTTGGCCGCTTTATTTTTTATGAGCCAACGAACAGATAGGGTGATTCGATTTGATTGGATGGAAAACTGTAGTGTGGACTTGGTAAGAATGAAATCTAGAAAAGAATATCTCTTTTAATACCAAAATACTTCTTTCATTTAGTCTTGCAGCATTTTCTAGCTTAAAAATATATTTTAGGAACGCATTTTTAAGCAGTTTTATTTGCAAATATCCTATAAATCCACTTTTACTATGTTTCTAGATAAAAATGTCCTCAATTTCTCTAGATTATTTAGTTCTTTGGCAACAAATCAGTCCACCCTAATACACGCACAGCCACATCCAAACGCTTACACACACACACAAGAGCATCTGTCACTCTGCAGTGCTGGCGCTTATAAAAACACAGACACACACGCTTACAGTCTCAGCATCTCGGTTCGTGTCAAAAGAATTTCTGTTTGATTGCAGAGAATAAACAAGTGAAGGCAGCTCCATTCCCCATATAACATAGTGGTTGTATGTGTCGCTGTCCTCTGGTGTTTGCCTCTCGACTTATTTTCCCGTGCCTGTGGCTTTCCCTGAATTTTTCACTTAGACCTTATGCAGCAAATGCTAGAATCCTAAGCTTAATGCTATGTCGACGAGGCGGTTAAATGTGGTTTCCATTTTTATAACCCGCCCAGCAGTTGTAATAAATATTTTATACTTTAGCACCTACTTATAAATATTAATGGATCTTTAGCGCTTTTTCAGTTTTCAAAGCCTATTTATGGGTTAAGCTTTTGGTTAAAAAAAAAGTATTGCAATAAATATAATGCCGAAAGGTATAAACTTATATTTATGTAACCGATTTTAAGCTTTTCTGAAGGATAAAGCCAGCTTATCTAAAGAAATTATGTGTTCCTGATTCAGCTTAAGCGATTTATTGCCCGCACTTCCGGTTATGATTTATGGCTTTGCCTCTTTACTGTTAAATCGCATATAACATTGCAAAAGTTTCAATCAAACGTGACCGAAGCACTTGATTTTAATAATTAATTTCTAATAATAACACTTTTATGGTTCTTAATATTAAATAACAGGGGTTAAGCTGCTTAAAAAGCAAATTAGGTTAAAGAAAACCCAAACACCCCTTCTGAAAAAGGAGCCACCCTTTTGGGATGTGTAAACATTGTGATTGCACGCACAATTTGCGGGATTGTCTCTCATTAATTAAGAAGACATATTTGGGTCTAATTGACCCCACCACTCAGACTTGTCATCATTACTTTTCATTAAGTACTCTTAGACCGGCCATATATTGATTTATCGGAACGGCTTGTTGAAACTGATAAATGGGGCCCTGTGTGAAGAGGAAAAAATCAATTCAGCTGGCAGACAAAAAATCAAGTCTATAAATAGATTGACCACATTGAAAACAGTCTAATCTGTTGCCAAATATCCACTCTGGGCTTGGCTTATCTGGCATGTCTGCGGCCATAAATAAATCAAACACTTTAAATGCCCCCGGTCAATTAGCGAGCCATAAATCTGTGCATATCGATTTACAAATTGTACAGAAAAAAAAAAAATGTAAAAGAAAATATCAACAAAGCCCAAAGCTCAATATGCTAATTTGGATGTTGAGTGAAATTTAAGTGCGTGTAGCAATACTTTTATGACCGACTGTGTGTGTGTGTGTGTGTGTTTGTTTGCCTGTTGATTTATGAAAACGTGGAGCGTGTGTTGATACTATTTTTCCCTTAATTGCAGCTTTGCAAATGTTGATATACGTACAAATTTCAGTTTTTCCAACTGGCAGGCAGGATTTAAAGCTCCACAAAATCTCCACAAATAAACGATTAAAGTTCGGCTTTTATTTCTGCCATGAAAATATTTCTTTATTGTAACTTGCATATCGATTAATTTACTTGTGAATCACCTTCAGAGGAGACTGTTAATTTACCCAATGGTGATATTTGATTCCATTTGTATGTGGCCCCTGACAGCTCAATTAAGTTGCTTTTCAAAGACAATTGTCTGTGAAATTGAATGGATATGAAGGTGAAATGAACTGGAGGTGGTCTCCTGGCAAAGTATACAATTTCTTTGCGTGAGCGTCTGTGAAATGTATGCCAGTGTTAAATGTCAAATTTAAATGCCAGACAAGCGGCATTCATTCAGTGGGCGGTCAATTAAGTCTCTTCGAGTAGGTGCCCATCACGTACGAATCCTGGCATAGCCAGGAGGCTGCTGAACTTTAACTCAAGATAAACCAATTATGATAATAGATTTATGCGAATCTTAATAAAGTTATGAAGAAGTTGGGGACTTAATTACGGTAATTAATTGTTAAGTCTTTGTTTTAAAAGTTGGAAGCTTTGATAAGTTGATAAATTTAAATACTAAGCGAAACTCCTAGTAATTCACATTTTTCTAGGATACTTACCTTCTAGCTCTTCATATTTCAAGGATATGATTACCTAATGGATGCTAATACACCCAACTTCTGTTCACTTTTGCAGCTGAGGACATCCATTTAAACGATTTATACACCCGCTACCGCCAGAGGCTCCGCAAGTCACTCTTCAGATCGGGGCTGTTAACTTCACTGCTGGCATGTGTTGTGTCCATAATAATTGGCATCGTTTACGACCAGGTGAGCACCTACCGCTCTTATGTTGCTGCAAATAGGTAACCCAGCTCTTACACAGAAATAAAAATGAATAAAGAAGTTGATATTTCAGTTAATTTTCGTAAAATATTGAATCTGTTACGGTTTCGTAATAAGTAAAGTACCAAGAAGTACAAAATTTTCAAACTTAAAAGTGATTTTCCATTAAGAAATTGTTCTCTCTGTTCATATATAAAATCCACAGCTCCTGGTGCAGACTTTACTGCTTGTGCTGGCGGCTCTAATCTCGGGATCCATTCTGACGGCTCTGCAGTTTCCGGCTGTGCTGAGCTCACCAGCTGCCGCCTTGGCCTTCGCCATCGTCACCACCTTTTCGCTGGGCACAATTGCGGCCATCACGGGGGATGAACTGGCTCCCCTGCCCATGTACGCCCTGTTCCTGGTAAGACCACTGCAATCCTACTCATCCACAGGATTATAATACTCACGCGTTGCCCCATTGCAGTGCATCCACTCGATGCTGCCCATTTCATGGCCCGTTTCCGTGGTACTGGCCCTATTCATGACCGCCATCCACATCGTTTACCGGATCGGCTCGAGCCCGGACTACGCGCCCAATTTGCCAATGGTAAGTCCCTCCATTCATTTGCATTCTCCACAAAGCCGAGTTCCATTTGTGTTGGCCACACACCAGCAATTGGATTAGTTTTCATATGATTGGCGATTACCATTCTAACGAGTGCGGAGCAAAATGGGAATTACCGCGGATCAGGGTTCACAATTAATGTGAGATGTCTGTGGTGCAAACATATTGGAGCTTAACTAAGAATATGTTAGGAGTTTGCATTTTAATGTAAAACAAGTGGGGATAGAAGACCGCCCACTGAATGCTTAGCTATTAAATACAAGATTTCTATTTATCCATATTCTAATTATCTTTGAACAAGAATCCAGATAAGCTGATATTAATTTAGTTGAAAGAAAAAAAGTAACAGTCAAATGAAATTCATCTCTTAAGCAATCTCAATTCCCCCAGCTCCTACTAATGGGTTGCGGTTGGAATCCCCGTTTCCTGCCAATCCGCCAAACTCCTCCCCCCTCCCCCTTGCTCCGTGATTTGTTAATTAGGTTGCATCGTGTTCTTTGCCGCGCTGCAAGGACACAACGATGCGCTATGTGCCGCGTGGTAATTGCCATTCCGGGTTTGACATTCATTATTTATGGAACGTGCCTTACCCGCTCTCTCTCTCTCTCTCTCTCGTTGGTATTTCTTAGCTCTTCGGGGAGATTGTGATGCTGGCCAGTGCATCCATTTCCGGGCTCTACTACCGCATCATGTCGGATGCGGCGCACAACCGGACCGTGGACGGTACTAGGACGGGAATCGAGCAACGCGTGAAGCTCGAGTGCGAGCGAGAGCAGCAGGAGCAGCTCCTCCTCAGCGTCATTCCCGCCTACATTGCCGCAGAGGTGGGTACATAATAAAAATAATAATTTGAGTATAAACAGCTCTCTTAAGTCTATATATGTTTTGAAATATTTATTTTTTGAGTGTAATCCAATGCCAGAGGGTCAAATTCTATTGTAACAATAATCCCAATGGTTGCTTTTCCTTCTCAGGTAAAACGCAGCATCATGCTGAAGATGGCTGATGCCTGTCAGAGAGCTGGAGGACAGGCGTCCACCTCGGCCACCCGGTTCCATGAGCTCCACGTCCAGAGACACACCAATGTCACCATTCTCTTCGCAGATATTGTCAACTTTACTCCTCTGTCAAGCTCCCTGACGGCCAGTGATTTGGTGAAGACCCTGAACGATCTGTTTGGACGATTTGATCAAATAGCACAGGTAAGATTAATAAATTTTAAATATTATTTTTAATCGAGTTTTTCATGACATTTTGTTATGTAAACATGAAAAACATTCTAGCCTAATAGAAAGTGTGTTATGTGTGCTTAGTATAAATGGTAATTAATTGCTTTATTCCCGCAGGAGAACCAATGCCTTCGCATCAAGATCCTCGGGGATTGTTATTACTGCGTGTCCGGCCTGCCCATTTCCCGGCCCCAACATGCAACCAATTGTGTCAACATGGGCCTGCAGATGATCGATGCCATCAGGTGAGTGGGCTTTTGCGTTGGCCGACTAACGCTTTTGGCCCTTTTGCTACGTTTCGGTTTGGGCCAGTCCTTCCTGTTGGCTATGCAAACGTTTGCATTGGAGCCGTCATCGTTTGTACGATGTACGAGTTGTTTGTCTTTCGCTCCTGGCCAGCCTTTGACTTTCAGTCGTTCGATCCTTTGGTCAAGGCCATTTGACACCGTGATTGTTGGTTTTGTGGCTAGAAGGAAATCTTTGCTGCACTCACTGTTAACTGGGCCGAAAAGCGTCCTTTGTTTGGTTTTTTGCTGTCATGGTTTATGGCTAAGTGTGTTTATTCAGAGTAGTTTTAAATCTTGAAAAACTTAATTAAAGTTTAAAATTTACTTAATGGGGCCCCATTGATATTGTTTTTTCATCTTCATAAAAGGTTTCCTTAATTAATGTCTTTCACCATTTGAATATCAACGACAGAAAAGAGAATAAACAACAACAATAAAGGAAATAAAAATATGAAAAAAACGTATAATCTCAAATTGCATTGCAATTAAACGCGTGACACCAAAGAGGATATGTTATATCCATCTGTGACAGAGTTCGGGGCTTTAATTGCTGGCAGATATATACTGATATTCCGTATGGAGTTACTGCCTCAAACCCTGGACTTTATGGGGGCCCATTAAAAAGGTATTATGCAATAAAAGCACACGAACGAAATGGGAAAAACCAAAAACAAAAAACAAAAAAGGAATAAGAAAACGAATGCCGAACAGAAACATCATAAAATACAATAAACAATATCGACACAAAGGCCATTTTATTACACGCGAGAATTTATGCACAAGTGGCCGCAGGACCAAAAGGAACCTCTCATTTTGACTTTTTGCTGGCCTTTTTTCATGCTTTTTATTGGACTCTGTGCTTATTCTATTGTTTATTTTTTCCGTTGGCCTTCCTTTGTGGCGCTGCTGCTTTTCGGAGACGTGGCCCTTTAATCTTAGCCCCGGCCAATGCCCCTCAAGTTGGCCCAGACTCTGGCTTTGTTCCTGCCACAAACTTGGTCAAAAAGATACTCATGCTGTTGACTTTCGGGCTGCCTAACAAGCCGCCAGGGAAAATGCCAAAAGTTTTCAACAGAAAAGGAAACATTCATTTAATTATGAATTGCATTTCCTTTCTTGTCGAAAAGTCAGAATAATATAAAACTTTAATGCTGCTCGCGACTTGCCCGAAACTGTATGCTACGGATTTCGTCGCTAAGCCACTGGATTTTATCTCTTTTTAGTTTGGAAAATATTTACATGAATTATGCAGTTCAATCAGAAAATGTTGTAACTTTTTGTTGGTTTTCTGAAACTTTGGCACTCAGAAATTCACAAGTCCTAAATCCGGATCGAAAATCCGATTGCTTGTTTGCCTTGTTTGTGGCCATATCCATATCCTGCTCCTCCATATCCTAACCGAATGACCAGGAAGGGCAAAAGCAAATAAAACCCTGAAGGGCTCCCAAGTGATTTGGCCTTCGATGCGGCTCATTTGACCCCGACGGCATTCAGGCCAAAGAAAAACCTGGTTAACGTTAATAACTCAAGAACTCGTTCTTGGCCGTCCTTCTAGCCATTTTCTGTGTTACTAAAGTTCCTGCAAAGGCAATACTAGATGGACACTCACAAAAAGCCATTACAAATATTATTTCTAAATAAGATGGAAGAAAACTTATCAAAAATATTTGTTAAAAAGGTTTTAAGTTATACGAATCATTACAAAAATAAGCTGCATTTAGGTTGTTTTACCTTTGTTTTAGCCCCAAATTATTCTTAGTGTAACTTTAAATAGTGTTTTGTTCCTATTCGCTGACCGATTCCCGCCCATATCATACTCGTACATCAGGCTGAGAGTCGACCTGGTCTGCTTGTGTTTTATGGCCCATAAAATTGTTAATACGACGGCACCAACTAGCCTGTAGTTGAGCACACATATAAGAATACATATATATCCTTAATAATACATCTGCGAATGTGCTCCTGCTTTGTGCTCCTTTCATTGTTTGCCCTTCGTTTATTCCGGCAGACACGTGCGTGAGGCGACCGGCATAAATGTTGACATGCGAATTGGCATCCACACTGGCAACGTTCTCTGCGGCGTCCTTGGCCTACGAAAGTGGCAATTTGATGTTTGGAGCGACGACGTTACATTGGCCAACCACATGGAAAGCGGCGGTGTCGCTGGGTAAGTGTTTGTCCCGTCACTGGGGAAAAATATTTTTAGTTAACAATTTTAATTGCTTATCTTTTTATGAGCATGTGTTTATTTTTATAAATTAAAGGCAAAACAAAGATACATTCTAAGGAAATTCTTATTCAGTTTATAAGTTTTTCTAGCAGTGTCTTTCCTTAGTTTGCCATTATGCTTGTACGAATGACAACGATGACGAGCGAGGCGAACAAAAATAAATAAACAAAACGCATAGCCCGCGGGTGGCATAAAAATGGGGTTTGAGAAGGCGCCTCTAATGGCGGTGGCAGCACAAAGCGAGTCAAGCAGTCGTAATGGCAATTTAAATTAGCCACAGTGTAGCCCCAATTAAACGGGTTTCAGCTCAAGTCTATATAACAACCAAAAGCAAAGGTTCAGTCAGAGGAGAGCTGCAGTGCAGGAGGGCAGAAGTCAGAAGGCAGAAGGCACCCTTAGTATAAAAAGGAATTCCCAATTGAAGAATTCTTACATATGCTAAAATTAATTATACTCGTACGTACTGCCAAGGTTTGCTTTTAATTAAATTTTTGTATAGCACTGCAGCTTGAGGAATTTCAAATGAAAAGTTGTATTGTTTAAATTAAATTCATATTCCAAGTCACTGACTTAATATTAACTGTGGTGTAGATACATTGTTATCGAGAAAATAGCACTTCCTATTCCAAATCCGATTTACACTCAAGCCATTTTCTCTAGGCAACCTTTCTCATATAATTAAATTTAAAAAATGTTACAGCCCTGCTATGTTTTTTTTACCAAGAAATTCTGTATGTTTACTTTGCAAATACCAAAGTCTAAAACTCTCCCCCTTTGCCCTCAACAGTTTGACTTTTATTCATTCACAAACAAACAATTTTCTTTTGGTTTATTCATTTCGCGTACTTAAGCCGCAGTCGAGTCTTTCAGATGAATGGTAGCTGAACATGTTGAAATGTTCTTCTTTTATCTAACCTGCGGTCACATACGCAGACTTCAATTATTTCGAATTGAATTGAAATGCTACAGTCAATGAGCCGGAAAACACTCAGACGCCTCAATTCAGGCTTCATGCACGAATTGCTCTTCCCGAGCCAAAAGTATAAACAAAATTACGTCGAATTTAGATAAATAGACATAGACAGGGGAGCAGCCTAAATTATTTTGCATAAACCCGGTTTTGGGTGTACACTCAGGCAAATAAATATGTAGAATTTGGTGTATAAAAGATAACTTTCTTTACGTAAATTCATTTTTTAAAAGAACTTTTTGTGATATTTTTAAACTAAAATTAATTAAATAATTTAATATTCATGTATTTAATTTCAAACTCTTGCAAAACATCCTTTATACATATACGCCATAAAGTAAATTTTATTTCTCTGTAATTGTTGTTGGGTGATAACCTATGAATAGCGCATAAAAGTAGATTGCTCATACGCCTCGTATGCCAGCACACAAACATTTATCATCATTTCTCATGTGTGTTTGCTTTTCTCCTGCAGGCGCGTTCACATCACCAAACAAACTCTGGACTTCCTGGGCGACAAATTCGAGGTTGAGCAAGGAGAGGGTGGCAATCGGGATGCCTATCTGGCGGATCACAAGGTAGAATCTTTTCTCATAGTGCCACCAAAGCCGGCATACACCTACAGTGTTCCGCGAGTGGTGGAGTGCATTGAGCAGAATGATCCCAGTCCCACGGAGGAGACCAAGGAGATAAAGGAAGTGGAACACACCAATGAGGGCGCTGATGTCACCGATAGCCTACTCCCAGTGACTGTGGATCCACCACCGGTGGTCGTTGATGAAAAGATGTCACCTACTTCTACGAATAGCCAGGAGATTCCTTTGCACGCTCCTCTTGCCTCTACCGCCTCTATGTCCATCAAGGAGTTGTCTGAGGAGGAGGACGAGGCAGATGAGGCCACTGCAGTTACCGAGCCCCTGATGGTCAAGGATCAGGACAACAAAGATGGTCAGGAGGTCAAGGCCAATGGCGCTCATCGTGGCAGTGGTGATTCTGCTGCTTCCGAGTCCGCTGCCAAGTCCACTGCCCTTTCCCTACCTGCCGAGGATTTGCTTAGCATGAGCGGTTCGGAAAGTGGTATCTCTAACAGTGGAACCCCAGCTCCATCTTCGAATCCAGCTAGTGTCACGCCTACTACAGCCGCCCCAGCTGGAGGAACTTCCCCCGCCACCAATAGTCTAACGGTGGCCGAAGCCCCAGAGCGATCAAGACGAAAGTTGTCCGTTCAAGGTGGGAAATTTATCAGCAAACTTCGGTTCACTATTTTACTCTATACTTATCTACTTTAAATTTAAACTTTAAATATGTACTTTCTGCTTGGGAGCTCCCTCTAATTGGCTTTCTTTTTTTAATAATAGTTCACCTGCACAGTTTACACCTTCATCCACATGCCATCAATCACAGCCAGTAATGGGCATTAACACTTCGGTGTTGCCGCCGAAGGCTCTTATTTATGTGACCGCCTTCTCACCTCCTTTGTTTTTTTCTTTCTTTTTTTTTTTTTTTGCCCAACAGGTCTGATGTCCTTCGCCGACCGACGCCGCTCCTCCGGAGCCTTCATTGAGGGACGAAAGCTGTCCATCCACAGCGGAGAAAGTTTCCGCAGTCATGCGGGTAAGTTGTCCTCCAACCCAGGGCATCGTAAAACGCAACAGTTGAAAATCACTTTCACAAATGAGCTCAGGTTATGCATAATTTTATCGCTGGCAGGGCAACTTTTGCATCGTAAATTTATCGCAGGCTTGCATTTGTTTGTGGATTGGCCTTTGTGAAAACTTTATCCATGGCCATGGACCACGGACACTAGGGCAATTAAGCTCCTTTGACAGCCAGCTGGGCTTCGTTGGACCTTTTAGTGGTATATATTTTGGATTGGATGGGGTGATGGGAGGTGGTTAAAGGTACTGCACGTGAAGCCATGAGGTTTTGTGTTCGTTTATGAGTTTTAATTTGCCAAGGACATTGAGTACGGCATGTGGCAAAGTCACTTTGATGGCATTTTTAATGCGAATGGGTGACTTTTAATGAGCTTGTCTGGCTGGACCCCTCAACTAGCTGGACTGGTAAAAACTCTGCAGCTTTTCAGGTGTAATAATCCAAGCGATTTCGGAGAGATTTTCCAATATTAATGGGATTTTTCTGGACCGAAAAGTTATCGTAAAATTGACAAGACATTTGGAATATCTGTTGGGCTCATATAAAAACTATCACAATGTTGAATGGCATTTAAACTAGTTTACATTGTGCTTTTTCCAGCTTACGTTTTAAGTTGAGATTAAAGCTGGTAAAGCCGTAAACTTTCCTAATAAGTTAAAAAAAATGTGAAACATCCCTTAATACTAATTTGTGATAGCTTATTTGTTAGGTGGATAAAAACATGGTCATTGCACTAAATTTTAATTTTACATTGGTCCCTTTCAGGTCATGTCACACGCAATCGTCCCTCATCGAAGATGACCAAATATGTGGAGTGCTGGGGGGCAGATCGACCCTTTGCCAATATTGCCGAATCCAAGCTGGTCAAGAACATCGGACTGGCGGTGAGTTGTAAACTAAACTGGGTGAAATGGGGTTTTTATGCCCAGGCTGTAGTATGGAAAATCAAATTTAAATGGCAAGGAAATATCAGTAAATTGGATAAGGCAAAGCAGACCATTTCCTTAGATTGCTTGGGCTATAAACTGTATACAGTAGATATTTGTTATATGCGAATGAATTTCCCCAAAAACTAAACACGACTAAAATGTCCGTTTAGTCAACTTATTTATGTTTTTCCTTATCGAAACTTCATTTTAGTATGAAGTTTGCTTATAAGCAATATCTACTGTAAGTGAATTTAAGCACCAGAAGCAAACTATATTATTTTCTGTCCTCTATTCATTTCTCCTCCCCTTTTGTCTGTACGCAGAGCATCGCCATGATTGAATCAAATTTACTGCCGCCAGAGCGTAAATGTTTCAATTTTAATTTCTTCGGACCGCCCACGGAGCTGAAGCCATTTACCATGTGGTACCGCAATACGCCCCGGGAGGCAATGTACCGCGCCCAGCCGGATACGCACTTCCGGTTCGACCTGATATGCGCCTTCGTTCTCTTCCTCTCGCTGGCCATCGTCCAGTTGATTGTAATCGAATTGTAGGTGAGATCAACTCGCATTAACGAACCCGTCGACTCATCCTCGTTCTTTTTATATTCCCCTTGCTTCGCCTTGTCACGCCCAGAAACCTGGCCCTACTTGGATCCCTCTTGGCCAGCTTTATGTCCCTGGCCCTGTTCCTCTATCTGAGCAACATGTCCGTGCCGGATGTCCATACCTCGACAACGGAGAGAAACGGCCCTGGACAGGTGGTGGCCAGCAGTCGGTATTTGCGACTGGCCATGTTCGTCGTAGTCAACATCCTCATCTCCTCCTGTGCAGTATTCAGTGTGGTAAGTTTATCTAGGACTTTCTTAAAAACCCAACAGAATTATAAACTTTTCATAAAATTTCTATTTCAGATCAACTTTACGGTGCCAGAAAGTGTAAAAAATGAGCCAATACCTAATGCCACCATTATCTTTGCCAGCAATTTATCAAGTGATTTCTTGAACGCCACTTTTGAGGAAATGCAGCCGTTGGATATCGCCCGTGCCATACCCATTGCCCCAGTGTTTCTCTATTGCTGTGCCATTAGTTTGGCAGCAATTTCTGCCTTTTTGCGATCTGGTTTTATCCTTAAGCTCATTGCCATGCTAGTGGCTGTAATCGCTCAGGTCACAGTTCTTGGTTACAGCGATCTGTTCGAGCAGTACAACCTACATATGAACGAAAAAGGGTAAGATACTAGTTAATATATGGATCATATATTAATAATAATTTCCTTTATCAGTTTACCCCTGGAGATCAAGGGATTCCTGCTGCTCTTGGTGATTATTCTAGTGCTCCATACCCTAGATCGCCAGGGTGAATATGTGGCTCGCACTGATTTCCTGTGGAAGGCCAAGTTGAAGGTGGAGCAGGAGGAGGTGGAAACCATGCGTGGCATCAACAAGGTATGAACAACAATAATATTAAAGAGAACATAAAAGCAATTTCATGCTAATTGGAAATGGATTTTTTTTTTTTCAGATTCTGCTGGAGAATATCCTGCCGGCCCACGTGGCCACCCATTTCCTGCACCTGGAACGCTCCACAGAGCTATACCACGAGAGCTACTCCTGCGTGGCCGTGATGTTCGCCTCCATTCCCAACTACAAGGAGTTCTATGACGAGACGGATGTCAATAAACAGGGCCTGGAATGCCTGCGCCTGTTGAACGAAATCATTTGTGACTTTGATAAGGTAGCAGTTGATTTTCATGTACTAACGTTCCTACCACAAAATATATCAAAACTCTCTATTACTTTCAGTTACTCTTAAAGCCAAAGTTTAGTGGAATCGAAAAGATTAAAACTATAGCCAGCACCTATATGTGTGCCTCGGGACTGAGACCCGGCAAGGAAGATGGCGCTACCGTAAGTGAAATGTGCCTTAAGAAGCTCGCAATAATATCTCCCTATCTTGTCTAATTCGTATCTTTACAATGCTTTCACTAATCCTGTATTTAACTTCCTGACTTGTTTGTCCAAACTAGTCGCGTAGCTTTGCGGTAAGTCTTTAAAGTTGTTCTCCTTAAAGTTTTCACATTCCCTGCTCAAAATGATTTATCAATTGGCCAACAATATCGGACACCATCAGGTTCAAATTAAATGTTTCCAATTCAATCAAAACGAAAAAAAAAACGAAAAAAATCCGGAATTCAGTTTAAATTTCAAACTTTTGCCCCTTTCCCTTCGAACAAATCCCAATCGACCGAATGTTATTTACTGTTCAAATGCCTTTTAATCGCTGCTTAGCACTTTAATTAAATTTTTACAACTACCAAACAAAGAGGGAATCAAATCACATTGGCTCAACAAAGGCCAAAGAGAAGGCAATAAAAAAAAGGGTCGCCAAATGAGGGTCGAACTGGGGGGCAGGGATTTGGGATTAGCTGAATCCGAAGGGGCGGAGGATTCCTAGGAAGAGGGCAATGAGGTCTAAATCGAATCGGGACTAACTTATTTCTTCTTTTTTTATTTTTCTCTTCTTAAGGATGAGAAGCGAACGGAGGAGCACAACGTGGTCATATTGGTTGAGTTTGCGATTGCTTTGATGTCCATATTGGATTCGATTAATCGCGAGTCCTTCCAACGTTTCCGTCTTCGCATCGGACTCAATCATGGTCCCGTGATTGCCGGCGTGATTGGCGCTCAGAAACCGCAGTACGATATCTGGAGTAACACAGTTAATGTGGCCTCACGGATGGACTCATGTGGCGTAATGGGGCGGCTTCAGGTGAGTGGTTTTTGAAAACCCAAATCATGAAACCATAAGCCTAACCCGAATTACTATCTCCCTAGACAACGGAAAACACGGCAAAGATATTGATGGCTGCTGGTTATGAGTGCGAATGCCGGGGTCTGACCTATGTCAAGGGCAAGGGCAATCTAGTCACCTACTTTGTAAAGACACCTTTCGATGGGAAATTGTAAATCACCCAATTGCTGTTGATACTATTTAATGGATATTTATGATCATGTACACGTAGCCTAGGCCAAAAGTCACTTCAAAGCATCTTGTTATTTATTTTGAGCTTATCATTTTAGTTTTAATGAATTTGCAAGCATTTAAAAGTACGTTGCTCATCACACGCACATGTTAAGTATTTGTTAGCAACAATTTGTTTTTTAGTTAGCTATTAGAATTTAAATGTTATTGACTATTTCGTACAATTTGTTAGCTAATCTTATGCGTAGCCATCACTTAAACAGCGAATAATTATATACGATTCGAATTAAAAACAATTTATTATAGACAAAGAAATGCAAATTAGCCCACCCTAGCCCAAAAATTAACCAACAATAAATTAATATAGCCAAAAAAAAAACATATCTATTTACTAACTGCTCTGTTAAATTCTTATCTAAAACTCTCAAGATATGTTTCTATCGCTATCCTCTCCATTTCGAGCACTATATAAATCAATTTGTTAAAACTATACTATTTCTGTTAAACGACACTAGTTAAATATTCTATAAAAAGAATCAATTAAAAACTCTATATATTTTTTTACTCAAATGTTTTTTACTGTTACTGAACTATTCACTACATGATATTTTGATAAATTTATGTATATAACTATATAAGAAAAGAAAGCCACCAAAGCGAACTACTTTTAAAGACAAATCTAAGCTCAACAACCGCATCGTGTGTACCTAACATATCCCAACAAATTACACAATACCTCCGATCAAAACTGACCTGCTTCGATGTGCAAATTGTATCCCCCAATGGATTTCAATCAAACTCCCAAGATTTCGAAACTGTTTTTTGAAATATCTATGCTGGAATATACAATAATTATATAAAATGTTTGTGAGCACTCTCTAAACACGCTGCAGTAGTTCTTAAAGTAGATTCATTGAACAATATTTGATATTATTAAACAATTTCATTGATTTTTATTAAAAGATAAATAAAGGAAATCAATAAACTATTATGATGTATTCAAATAAATAGTGTTTACTTATTTATATATTCTAAAAATATATACAATTTTTTGTAAGTATAGACATTTCTTTACAACGTTCTCCGATTTCGAACTCTTAGCTCAAAGTCAAGTGTAGGGCAATCTTATCTATAAGAAACTCCATCAATCAGGGCATCAATGTGAAACTGATCCGCCAGCGAGTAAGTAAAGTATACGGAATTCCGGCGACCACAAACTCAGTATTTAAGATAGTCTTGACAGCTAAACTTCTCTGCATAAAAAGTATTCGAAATTGAAAGGATTTTATTTATATATTTGATGAGCAATCTCCGTGGCAATCTCAGTTTACAAACAAAATTTTGTAAGCATTTTGCTAAAACAACAAAGTCCCGGCGGATCTTAAATGCTGCTGGGGTCAGCAGTGTACCCCAGCCACATCACATCGCGGCTCGTATGTCACAGTCGTTGTTAGAATTGGTTCGCAAAGGAGCTTGGTCAGCATTCTCGGATCTCAGATAGCCATGTGTATATAAACACGACGCATTCTCAGACCACGAGACTCCGAAGAGATCCAAACTCAAGTCTGCCTTGACTTTCAGTTGCCGTCGCGACCTTCGAAGTGGCAGTGTCTTCCTCGCTCCATTACTTTTTTTTGTGTTTCAATAAAAAATGTTTACGATTTTAATAAGCCTTTGATGGTTCTTCTGTTGAAATATTAATTAGTACATGTGGAAATTTTGTAAGTTTAGTGTAAATTTTACCCATGGACTTTTAATGTTAATAAATTAATACACTTGTGTTAAATTCAGATTAAACTAAAGTTTTCACGACAACTAACCCTTACTCCTAACTAAAACGATATCAAAAAACATTATAGATAAATTTTAATCAAGTGTTATACAAAAATTCTTTTACAATTAAAAGTTGGTAATTTAAGACTTCCAATCTAAATATAAATGCAATCTGATCTAGGGAAAATTTGATTCCTGATATGACAAATTGGCACACAAAAACACTTTTTCTTCTTTTAAATTACTAAATGTATATTCATATAACAAAATTGTACTAAGTAAATGGCCTTAAAACTAACCTTAATTATGAAAATTAATCGATACACAAGATCTTGATATTTGAGCTGAAATACTGCATTACATCAACTAAGAATTATCTTTTAGTTAAGATAAAATGGGTTTTAGAAACACAAAAAGATTCGATAGGTACTTCAGTTTAGCAAAATAATAAGTTTTGAGATTCGTTCGCGACAGTTATTTTCGAGTTTCCAGCTCGGATGCGAGATACACACTTATAACTAAGATATAGAGCTACAATTTGACTCTATGGTTTAAGGGCTAGAAAAATCAGGGAAAAACAAAATGTATAACAAATCACAGAGCAAACTGCAAAGGAAATCAGGAATCTAGCAATGCCCACGTCTCGTCTCTAGAAATGCGGCAGACACACCTTGCCGGCAAATAGTTCGGAGACCACGGTTATCCAGAGTGCCAAAACGAACATGATGTAGGATATGCCGATCTTGAAGGTATTGGGCAGCTGATAGGCCTGCCCTCCAATTTCCTCTACGTGGAATCCTAGAGGAAAGACAACAGCTGCCATGCAGAACAGCACCATGGCCGTAAAGCCCACCCAGCGGGCATAGGGAATAACATTCCGGTTGCAGGAGGATGAGGCTAGTAAAATTACGGTGGTGGTAACGCAGATGCAGCCCACGAATATGCAGATCAAAGCAATCAGCCATTCCGGTTGCAGATCGGGAGTGTAGCACACCTGGGGTCGATTATACAGAGTCATGCAGGTCCACATTAAGCCCAACCGAATGTCACCTGGAAATATTATGGTTTTCTTAAGTCCAACACCTGCCACTTCCGTGTTATCCGTAAGGTCCGTATTTACCCGTTCCGGACTCCGTAATTATCCAATCCGGCAGGGCCAGACTCACAATAGCAAACACATCGGCTGCCATGAAAAGTGTTGCACTTATTGTCGTTAGTTTATCCATTATAATTCGGAATTTGTGTTTTTATTCGCTTATTTTGTTTTGCCTTTTCTTTCTGCTGCTAAAAATACACTAAAAATGCCAAATAGCGATAACTTGTTATTTCTTTTATCGATAGAACCAGTTCTTGGACATTATTTGGAACTAGTTTAAAAGTAGTAGAATTGAGCGCAAACATTCAAATTCCATTTTCAAAATTGCAAATTAAAAATTTAAAAATTAAACAATTATATCAATTAGTTATATGCATATAGAAGCCATATTTAATTTCAATCGCAATCTTAAGGTGCTGCATTATTAATCAAACACTTTATAATATACAATTATACAACAATAATATGGAAAGAAAGTCTTTGGAAGGTCAAAACGATTTCAAGATACTCTATATTAATATGGCTATCATAGATATACAACTAATTTTTTAGTAACACAAAAATATATTACTAAATAAATTAACCAAATATTTATCATGCTAACGGTTCTTTGAAACAACATTGTTATCCTGGTAAAAAGCCATTATCCTCAAAGTAAATTGAAATTATAAATGTAATTTGAAGTCCAAACAGAATCGTATACAACTCCCTTGGTTACCAATATATTGGTGACCCTGTGATATGCACCGGCATTTCAGGCAGTCCGGCGTTTAAAAATAAAGTTATAATTCCAATTATATGCGAGGGAATTGAATTGTGGCCACGTCACATTCACATGACCGCCGCTGACGTGTCCTTAGTGTACTTAGTGTGTCCAGGTTGACCCAGGTTATGCGGCCGGTCAGAATTATAAACGGGGTGGGTTTAGTTCAGGTGGATAGGTAATGCCAGAAGCTATATCTGTCCAGTGATATCTGTTGTGCGAACCATCGGGTAGCGCTCTTTCTGCCCCTTAAATGCCCCATAATTGCCAGTCAGGAGCTTGGGGGTCTGAACTTTTTTATCGCCCTGCTGGCCATGTAATTCTCGTATTATTAGCAAATTTCATTTGCATTCCCACTCATTCACTTTTCGGATGTGCAACTCAACACTTGCGCGGCTCGGTTATCCACCGGCATTGGATTTCGTCGCGACATCGAGGAGCCCAAAACACGAAATCTAAGCACACCGCCAAATCCTGTAGAAAAAGGGTTGTCGACTAATGGAGATTTGTTTGTTGATTAGTCCGATTCCTGTTTACAAATGCGGCTAAAATATGCTGGGCTTTGATATCTGGATATTGGATTCATTTTCATATGTATAGTGAGCTAGTAAGCATGCATAGAGAGAAATTGACACATTTTTGGGTAACAAATATAGATATAACATTAAAAAATTTATAAAATATTTTTTAAAGTATATTAGCGGTAATAATAACTATTAAAACTATCTTTTCTATTTCAGTTTTTTTTTTATTTAAGTATAAGTTGAGTCTTTACTATATTTTAATATTTAATTATTATTATTTTACCACTTTCGCTAAACTAATTTTCTAATCTTAAATTCTATGAAAAATCATATTACCTACGAAGTTAAAAACTTTCCCATGTTTACTTAATTTCCCTCTCAATTTTCTATTTACAGAGCCACATTTCTGTCCAAAACTAATTACTCCGCACAATCGGAAAGACTAAACCTGCCATTCGATACTACAGCCAAACAAAAACTTGGCTTTTGTATACAACATTTTCATTTATAGTAGGGAAACGGAAGGCTGCTTTCTGGCAGTTCTTAGCACGACATGGTCGTGTCCGAATCAGAATCCGAGTTTGTGCCTGAGTCTGAACCGCAACCTAAGAAAAAGCAGCAGGAAGCTACTGAAGGGTATGATTGAAAAGCAAAAGAAAATTATAAATTGTTTATTTTCACAACTTTGTTATTATTTTAAAGAAATCTACTTATAACTCATGCCCATGACACAGAGGTTGAGGTAAACCCTGACAGCGAAGAGGAAAGAGAAAACAAACCCAAGGATCTGGAAAAAAATCAAGAGGATATAAGTAGTTCAACGAGGGAGGACACAACAAGACCTCTAGTTCTAGAAGAACGGCACTCGCTGTCTATGTAAGTTTTACCAAAACTATACATTTATTAAAGGTTAATATTTAAAAAAAAAATTGTTCTTTTAGAGCTGAAACAAAAAAGCGCAGGGCCTGTGTATTTACCAACGAATTACTCTTTATACCCAAGGAACTTGCTCGCAGTGAGCTTCAGCAGCGCACAAGGACTCTAAGTAGATACACCAAGAATAGGGATTACCATCTTCGAATGTTGAAATATCCCGTGGGATCAGGTCGTGCACGGTACTTGGCCAAACAAATGAAGCAAGCTCGCCATTCTACATCCAAAGAACGCGATAATCAATCTGAAACGATAGAATGCACTGCTAGTATTAAACAGGAAGAGTTCAAAGATGAGGAATCCCAAAACTCAAATGAGTTACCCCTGAGTATGCCAGATTTGGGTGGTGAAAGTGGAGATAAAAACCAACTGACGGCTGATAATGAAATGAGCATATTTTTATTTGATTTTGTGAAGAAAGAGGCCGAGACTAACAAAGATCTGGAGGAGATAAACCGGAAATACCTTCAAAGTCAGCGGGAAAGTGTGATAAGAACCAGCAGCACAAAACGCCATCATTATCCCTATCTAAGCTGGCACAATCCAGAACGAGAAGTCAAAAATATTAAGAGGGAATTTGTGGAGCAGTGGAACTCCAAGGAGAAGCCTGATATTCAAGAGGGCTATTGTGAAACGAATGATATAAGTCCCACAGAGTGCAAGCAGGAATTCACGGGAATAGAAGAACAAGCGCAAGAATATATCCAAGAATTTGGAAACCCTGAACAGATTGAAGAGCCCCCCGATATAAAGCCTCAGTTAGAGCAACCGGCTACAATCAGTTACTTCTGCCCTTCTTCCCAGGTAACCCATGAAATTGAACAGCAAGTTACTGAAATGCCTGCCAATATCATTACTCCGATAACATCTGGATCCCCTGAAGATCCTGGACAAACAGCTCTGCGTCAGCAGTTAATGCATCACATTGTCCAACCGAATTTCCACAACGAGGAAGTATATAACTCCATTAATTGTAACAACAACGCCATCGATAGAGTCAATCAAAATCTCAGAGAACATCAGTTTGTTGAGGTATCTGTAGCCAATGAGCCAACTCTTCAGTGGAATCCACAAAATGTTGTAAATTACACAAATGAATCATTTCACAATCAACAATTGCAAATTCAGCAGCAATATCTGCAACAGCAACTTAATTATTCATCAAACCACCAGCAACAGGAAATTATTTACCAGCAACATCAGCACGAGGCGGGGGATAAACTGCAGCAAATGAGGGTCATGTATCAAGAGGTCAAATGCCGGGAGAAGGAGCAAATGCATCAGCTAAGCAACTCCTTAAAGAAGATCTTGGATGAACGAATGACCTGCGAACGCCAGCATGCAGAGGAGAACCGTTTGTTTCTGCTAAAAATTGAGCACTTCAAGAAGGTGGAGGCAAAACTAAAGTTGGATAAGGTGCAGCTCCAACGTCAACTAAGATCCGATTTAAGGACTTTGGAGCTGAGAATTGCTGACCTGCAGCGCCAGCAGGAAGAAAAAGCATATACCTATTCATGGCAGCAATATCAGCAACAAAATCAACAGCAACCTCAACAGCAACATTTCATGCATCATCCAAATGGCCTTGAAAACCAGGCGAATTCAGAGCCATATATGATGCAGCAACATTCATTCCTATACAATACACCACCCTATACGAGTATATACCCAACTTCGTATCAAGAATCGATTGTATATCAACAGAGCACAAATGCATATCGCAATCAGCATTATTACCCTGCAGCCCAGTCCCAGACAACAGCAGTTGATCTGCAGAGAAGATTGCTCTTGCCACCGCCTCCATATTCCCAGTCCAATAGAAGGACCTCGACTGAAGTTAGTTCTACTTCCAGAAAGGTGAAGCATCGCCATCTAACCGCCAACCAAACGTTAGATCCATATCCTGCCCCAATGAGAGGTTGTCCTTTGCCACCAGCAGCTGAGATCCTGCAATTACAGAGAAATCCCCAAATCATTCCATCCGCTACCCAAGCCCATGAGCCCAGAAACGCCGATCTCGGTATTACCCCTGTCATGGCCACTTATGTCGCAAATTTTATGAATAGCCGAGCTGATAGATAATTTAATAGTAAGATTTGAACCCACTTGTGATATAAGTAGAAATTCTTTAATTTTTTTTTAAAAAGAGAATATTTATCTATTATCAAAAAAAATTTGAAACTAAATAAAAAGTCTAAAATGCTTTTTGAAAAATTTCTTTTAAATACTTTGCATTTTAATTTTGCATTTACATTTTAAATCAAAGGTTTTGGAGTCCTTAGAGTTTCTAATTTTACTTTTTATTATATTATTTATTAGTTACAAATATTACTTTCTTCGGGTGATGAATTCTAATGTTTTATCTACTTTCTCTCGGAGGAGTTCGCCCCAAGCCGGGATGCCAGAAGCAATTCGAGCAATTGCATCGCGGACAGTGCCAGCAATTGCCGCACTTCATGCACACATTGCCAGCTCCATGTTGGGCGGCCGAAGGATACGGGGTGTGGCTAGTAGTTGGACCACCACTTGCCCACATATCCTTATTCCGGATACAGGATCGACTGGGCTTCGGGCTGTCTGAACGAGCTCTGGACAAACCGACGGAGGAGGACGATGCTCTTGGTCTTGATGGATGCGGAGTTGTTGGTGGGGCACAATGAGTTTCTAGTGGATCACGGGTCTCCGCCTTCACGGGACTCGGTTGTGCTTGATCCACAAACTTTACCGTGGGCGCATAAAGTTGGATAGCCAACGGCTGTGGGATCTGGAACTCGCAACCTGACCTTTCCCGATCTCTTCGAAGTTCGGCGAGCAGGCGGGTGAAGGGCATGTCACATCGCAACAATTGCTGCGCCGGCAGCTGTGAATCCTGTGCAGGATTCGTCATCAACTGCCGCTGAGGCAATTGCTGCGCTTGGAGCAGTGGCAACACATTCCAAGATTGAGAAACTGGGATCAGGCTGCATAAATAAATAGGAGCATGATCCGGCTGATACAAGCCGCCATCTGAAATGGGTGATGACAGGCAAAAAATTTGCGGCATTAAAGCAGGTCCTCGAGTTTGTGGGGCCATAGCCATCACCGGTGCTTCTTGCCGTTGAGTCATTGTTGGTGTTGGCAAAGGACACATGGGAGCCTTAGAAGCTGAGAGCGAATCATACCCGGAGCAAGCTCCTCCAATGTTTGAGCACTGACACTGAAAGCTGCAAGCAGGCGACTGGTTAGGACTGGGCTTCGGATTTTGATTTTGATTTGAATTCGGACTGGTACTGATTGCCCCCTGCTGTGGCGGGCCATAACTATCCACGAAGCCACCACTGAACTGGCAACAACTAGAGCAAATCATCTGATTCCTGTACTCGTCCAAATTAAAGGAGTTGGGCAAAGGCACGTTGCAATCAATGCTGAATTTGAATAAGAGGGGGAAAATAAGTAAAAATAAAAGAATTTGTAGAAGGTAAAATTCTTAACCCACTTCAGACCCTCTGGACATTCGGTGACCAAGCACATTCCCACCCGCGGTGGCTCCATCTCGCACTTGCTCGCCACATCGTTGCTCGACTGTGGGGCACAGCACATATTGAACTGCGGTGGCTGCGAGGCATTTTCATTTCCGCTGGAGAGCAATCTTCCAGAGGATGTTGCATTGCATCCATGCTCACAGCTCTCTGTGCAGAACATCTTTAACACTCCGACTTGGTCCCAATGTTTACCACCTAAAGCGGCTAACTTTGGGATATCTGAATTTTGTACATGTTAAGCCACAAATACTGAACGAATTCTTGACTATATGGAGTTGAGTGTTAAGGATTGCTAGGTTATAAAATTGCTCGATATGATATGTGGAGTCCGATTTAAAGTTCTTTCAAAATTGACATTCCCATTTAGTCACCCAAAAACATAAATAAATGTTTTAGAAAAATAATAACTACACCTCCCGAATAAAACATCGAAATTCGTGGTAAATACCAGATAAGTAGAGTCAAAAATGGAGTCCCAAGGCGATAGTGAATCTTTGGGGCAAACAACCAAGACAACTAGAGAAACCGTGGCCAAATGCAGTTTTATGATCACCGTGGGAAGTGATGGCGTAATCGAAATTAATTCGCATAATCCAGAAAACGACTGCCAAGTATCATCAGATGGAATAAGCAGTGGTAACTCACTATTAACGAACAAAAAGCAGCGTTTTACCATAGCAGTGCTTAAAGAAGAAGATTCCAATGATATCGATAGTGATCCCAAAAACAGTCTGGAGAAGATCAAAAATAATATTGATTCGCCAGACGAAATGAAGACCACAAAAATGTCGCCTAGCTTCATCAAGATCTGTAATAAAGATTTAGCAAACAGACCATCTTTCGTGGTTCTTGAGGATGCTTGTGCCCGAAATCGTATTGAGCAGAATCTGGAGCAAGCAAAATCAGACCAATCTGTCCAATGCCAAACTCAGCAGACCTCGCACTCTGAGACTAGCTGCCATACTGGATCCCAGACAGACAAAACTCCTCATTACCCAACAGCCAATAATAGCACTCAGAAAGGTAATATATTAATTACTATTAAGGTATTACTAACCTATATGTTGATATTCACTAATATTCACTAATCTTAGGTCCAAAGGTATCATTGTTGACGGCAGACCAGGTCATTTCCAACTTAAATTATAAGAAAACGCAATCGGTTTTTGATATAAGACCAAAAGGTGGTAATTTTTCGATTGGTCAAAAGGACACACAGCAGCCACATCCGACCCTGAATCAACATCTTCAACAGCAAGAACAGCTAAATCTGCAGCATCATCACACCCTACAACAGCAGCAACAACCCACCAATTCTCCATATGTAACTATCAGCTTCTTACCCATGACCCAAACGGGAGTAACATCTACAAGTCCTGTGGCATTTCCTTGCCAGCAATTCCTGAGTGCCACTTCGAGCAACATATCAAATTGTTCCTGCTGCACCTGCAGAAATTGCTGTCCGCCAAGGAAACCTCAAGTCTGTCAAGTTCCAATGCCCAATGGATGCAATCAGTTTCACAATCCGCTACAAGACAGCAAGTGCTGCATGCTGAGAACAGATAACTTTCAAAATAGCTGCCTGAATAGTTGTGGATCCTGCTGTCCTATACCAAGTGCAGAACCACACTCTTCAATGGGATTAGGTGGCCAATTCAGTCCGCAAATGATACCATCTTTCGTGGTACCATCTTCGAATTGTACATTGCAGCAACAGCAACCAAATATTCAAATTTCCGGCTGCCCCTGCCAACCGTTGTGTACATGCAACCAGTGCTCCCACTATAGGATGCAATCATTTCATCATCCTTGTTGCCACTGCCTAGGATTCTTTAACAATCAACAGATGTATCAATCGCAACAACCACCATGTGTCAGCTGCCCTATTAAACTAAATCAGCGACGGCAGTGCTCATCTAAAGGAGGAAAGGTATTGAAAGCCTGTGAAAAGACAACAAATCTTAATATACATCACAAGAAGCCGGAGATTCTGAAGCAGACAAACCTGGAGCCATCTAATGATCAAAATAATCAACCAAACAACAAGAAGACACCTCGATCGATTGGCGGAGCTGTTACTGCGAGGAACAATCCCAACTACAACCCTTTTTATCTGTCTCGATATGGAAGAACATGCCTGATTCTGCGGCCCACTAGCACCGCTCTAGTGCCACGTCTTTTCACCAAGCGTATCAGTCGGTATACATCGGTGATTGCCTGGCCCACAAAATCTGTCAAATCAAATATGGAAACAAATTAAACTGGTTCACAATATTCGCCAAAGGACATTACCCAGACTCTATTAAAAAATAACAATGTTAAAGGTGACTATTAAAATTAAACCTTAAAAAATAGACTTAATTTACTTTTTAATTTACTTTTAACATGAAAAGCTCAACAAATATTTAAAGAGCACATCAAAAACAATGGAAATAACTTATAAATTTATAATTCTGTTTTCGTTTCGCTACTTAAAATGTATTTAGCTAAAGTAAGATCATGATTTGAGTCAATTTCTAAACCGTCTTTGACATCAATTTCTACAATGGAGCACCTAGAATGGGATAATATTAGTTTAAAAACACTAGAAGTTTGACTGGATATTACCTATTATTTTGTAATAACCCACTTTTTACCAGTTGTCTTCTTGAGAAATAAAACATTCCTGTTTCCACTATATCACCCTTCCAGTCCTGACGTCTTGGCCTGGCATTTAAATCAAACTCTGCTGGAATCAATTCATCGTCAACGACTTTCCAGCGTAAATAATGTGATCTGAAATAGTAAAAAAAAAATTATAATCCTAGAAGCTATATTTAAATTTTTAGAATTTTTCACCTTTTGGCTGCAAAAACACAGTCATGTGACTCAAATTTTTGGACAGCTTCTTGAATATATTTAGTTTTTAGAAAAACGGAAGTGCATTGAAACAGGGCGAAGTCTTGAATATTTCTATGTACATTTAAAAACTCCGTTATTGCATGAATTGAAGGAGTATCGTCTTGGGCGAATTTTTCAGGACGACGATGTACGATGGCCCCATCTACAAAATGTAAATGTAATATTAAATATCATAAAAGAAATATCAAAACTTACACTTCTGAGCTTCAAGGGCAATTCTTTTGTCATCTGTGGATACCCAAATGTGTTTAAAACAAGTGGAATTTTTAATTGTTATAATAGTCCGAGCTAGCAAAGATAAGCCACCAACTTCAGCAAGATTTTTAAGTTTAATGCCTTTGCTTCCTCCTCTGGCTAAAATCAATGCGTGTATATCATTTTTCAAACTGAAATAAAAATGCTGTATTACTGTTCTCAATGGGTTAGTATTTTCCTTACCAAACTTCTGTACAATCTGTTTTAAAAACAAACACTAACACAACAAGAGAAATTACCGTTTTAAGTTTTATCATTGCGTTGTGCTTTACAGTTCAGTTGTGAATAAAAAGAAGAAACAAACTTGTAGCCCATCTGAAAACTATTTGTTAGGGTGACTCAGTAAGTTCAAAATGTAATTTAGTTAAATATTTTAACGGTCCCTTATAATACACTTTTTATAATCTATAATAATTTAATGCATATTTTCTGTAAAAACATTTTTATATTTATAATACAATAACATAACACAATGTTTGTTACTTATCCACCCTGAGTATTCAACTAATTCAACCACACACAATAGCCTAATTTACTGTAATGTGCGTTATTAGGGTGAAAATAAGCTCTGTATTTGGTGGGACTTTGGACTATTTTGATTTTGTATTATTCTTTTCATAGAAAGTAGTAACCAACCTGCAGTCCACCGAAGGAGGTGTCACTATTCAATATCCAGAATAATATTTATGACGATTTTATAGCACTTAATAATATATATAAAAAGTTATATTTTCTACCCTTTAATCAAAAAATTAATAAAACGACGATATTTGTTTATTTTCATTTATTGCACAGTTTTTTATTTTAAGCTTTATAAATAAGTTTTTAAATTTATTTACTTTCCTAAAAATGAAGTAAATAATCTTAAAAATACGCTGCCTTGAGAGGTAAGTTGTGTTAATATATATAAATATATACATATATATAACAATATATTAACAGAAATTACTGGTTTAAGAAAATATACAAAATATATTCTTTGTTTATTGAAAAGTGTGTTATCGGGCGTTATTAACATCGATATATATGTATATATAACGCCGATATTAGAGTTTGGAGATGCGCAGATATACAAACGCTTACTGACTGACTATATGTATAGATCTTTTAAAAATGTTATTAATTTATATAGCTACGAGTATTCATCCTTTATAACGGTTCTATTATTACATTTAAGTGCACTTACTAAAGGACACTGGCATACCTTTGGTTAATGTATGCCTTGGTGTGGTAATTATAAGTTCTTATCGAGGCCGCCAGTGTTTGAATTAATTGTTTATCCCTCTTTGCTGGTGCATAGGAATCAATGTCACTGCCACTAAAAAAAATTAAGTATTTAATTAAAATAATATATCAAATATATTTTTTAATTTTACCTGATATTTCGTGTGCGCAGGACACGTTCTGCCCACGTCTGAGGTCTGGGTATCTCTCTTGCCACTCCAGTTTGTTTTTTCTCAATATAATCAATTACATCATCATAATAATTGGTTCTGTAGTTGTACATATATTTGTATTGGAGAAATTTCGGCCTAAAAAAATACAAGATTGCATAATATATTCAATATTTATTCGTAATATACTAACCTGACCCAGTGTCGGTACAGTTGCACTGGTTTCCTATAGCCATCGTCTTCTGGCGGAGGTGGTGGCGCTTTGATTTCTTCGATTTCTTCAGGAGCAGCCTCCTCCCCAGCCGGAGTGCCTGCCACTACGCTGTCAGCCTTGTGATCGGATGCCACACTCGGTGCTTTGGAGGGTGGGGCCGGAGTTCCCGCGTTCGATGCCTGATTCGATGAAGCCGCCTTCTCTTCCTCGCCGCCATCGTCGAAACCCCATGGATCTTCTTCGTCTGCCATATTACTGGAATCCAAAGGGCGTTTATAAGTCAAATATCCTTCATAGAAGATGAAGGCTCTCTAAATTTATAACTTATCTCCCGAAATAAGGCTATCATCTTTTAATTATCATTATAGGGTGACCTTTCCAAAGGTTGCATAATATTACACAACCTAAATTGTATTTTAAATTAACCAATTAATTATTTCTCAATTTTATGTAGAAATAGGTTAAAAGATCCTCGAATTTTTCGAATTCAGGACGCCCAAATTGTTGGCATATCTTTAAATGTTTCGAGTTCAGGACGATTGAAATGGTTCAATGCATTTTAGTCTATATATAAATTATTACATAAGTTTTCAAACGTAATGCTTTAAGAATTTGTTTATGTTTGAATTCATTTGCTTTATTTCTTAAAGAAAGTAATATTCAACCGCTTAAGTCACAAATAATATTCCGAAGGACTAAAAGGCATATCTTAGATAAGTCCTTGTAATTTACTTATTGGCAAATATAAATTTCTATGTTATTGGCAAGGGTATCACATTGGCTTTCTATCACCTAGTACAGCTAACTAGGATATTGGGTTCACTTGAAAATTAAGCGATAATACCTTTACTATAGTGTTTATACTGATATAAAAGAAAAAAGACTAAATGATCGATCTGCTGCTCGCAACAAATGCACTTAGAAAACTTAATCTAAATATATCAAGAGGCAGAAACTATGTACATAGGTTGACATATATACACACATACTAAATTTAATTGCTCAAATCAATATTAACACCTATGTATCTCTCGCAATCAGCAAATAGTGAAACAATTAAATCCTATAATTGCAGTAATAGTGTGAGACAAAGATATCAAGTTTCATTCTAAGTGCAAAATAGATTAAATCTTTTATTTTCAAGCTTTTTTCAATTTACTTTTTTTTATATATAATGTATATTTTAAAAAGACTCATTACTTGAAGTTCTTAAAAAAAAAATATAAAAAATATAATTGAAAAAAATTTTAGAATTTAAAAGTTCGTTTTTGAACAAATAAAAGCTAATAAGTAAATTTTGGCTTTCTAATTTATTATTAAAATATTTTTTATAATTATTCATATTACTATATTAAAAATGAGAATACTTCTGTTCTCAAAATTCCGTGCTGTTTTAAAAACGGCCACCCCAATGTTTTTGCTGTTTTGTGAACTGCCGTATCGATATAACAAGAGCAACAACAAAAATGTATCGATATAACTCTAATTCAATATATATCGCTTCAATTTAACCCACCCCTAAATTTGTTGTATTGATTGTGTTTTGGTCGAATAAGTTTATTGCATTTGCAAAAAGTGGTATTGTTTAATTTAGCAGGTGGCAGAAATGTGCCGAAAATCAATGTGTCAGCTTTCTTCAGGTAATAATCACTTATACGCCCATGGAGGCATTCGAAATACGAGTGATCTGAGCCATATACACACTTTACTCATTTTGCGTGCATATATTGTATGCGTATATGTATATATATGTATGCACTCGAGTATATATATAAATATCAAAAATAACAATTTAGGACGAATTTATAGTGGAAATAAAAAATGAGTATGTAGCTGAGGCGTTTATTATGGATATTTTTTGAGGGCATTTATGCCCATGTGACAAAAACATATTCGCTACATATGTACGTAAATATGTACATATGTACATACATATGGCCAAACAACAAACTACTTTATTTAATTTGAAAGCTTTGCTTATTTCAAGCCGGTTTATATTAATGCATTTCGATTATTGAGCGAAAAATGGTGTCAATTTATGTAAGAACGACCGTGTCCAAACCCCATTGGGAGTTAAAGCGTGTAGTAAGCAGTTGGACCACCCACAAAAACCATCCTGCTATAACGCCTGCCTTAACTTATGCGGAACCTTTGGTTCGGCCTGATTCGGATTTGCTTTATCTAAATCGAAAGCCTAACCCGATTGAGTGTGATTATATTATATGCACAAAAAAGAGCAAAGGCTTTGGGTCAGAAAAAAAAAATGAAAGAAAAAGTTATAGGCGCGGGCCGTGTATTTTACCCACGTGACACGCAGGCGTATGCGTGTGCCAAAAATTCCACATTTCCTTTGGCGTTTCCATCATGAAAGGGGATTTAAAATTGCATTGGCTTCGCATTCGCATATTCCGGAATACAACATAGAGTGTACTAACTGGCTAGGAAAAGCAGGCCTTAACAAGTGACCCAGATTAAACAACTTTATTCTTAATCATTGTTTCAAAATACGCATTCAAAATAAAACAGGAAGCACAATAATTTCTTTTCGATTGACCCTGACCTTAGCGATTTTTGATATTTGAGTATTAGTTTGCCAACATGTTGGCATATTAAAAAGTTTTTAATGGATTTTTTGAAAACGTAGTAAGAATTTATACGTTGCGCGTAAAAAATCAATATTTAAAGTTTAGTTTTTAGATTTCCGAAAATCTTTTAAAAATGTATTTCTTAAAATTTATGTAAAAAAAACTTATTGTGATATTTTTTTAATAATCTTTTTTTATATGTATTTTCAGAATATTAGCCTCAGGAGGTAAATAATGACTATGGTCGTCGGAAAATAATCTCACGTAAGTAATAGATCTTAAATAAAACCAATATTAAATCCTATCAATAATATTCGTGCCTAGCTTAATTATAGCCTAAAATGCATGACTAACCCTGATACTTAAGCAGCCAATTAAACAAATATGATTTGTATTAAATATACTCGAAATGTGTGTGTAAACCTTTAAGATAATCATTCATACTAACTGATCATGTTTAATACCCATTCGGATTATATAAAACCACCAATAAAATATTTATTAATAAACCATAAAAGGAGATACCCTTGCAGATGGTTAATATTAAAATTAATATTAACATTTTGATAAATACATTTTTCACAAAAGAAAAATGTGTAATGGAGAACATATACTTACTGTCTTTTTGGTATTAAATATATAAAGCAAAATTTAAACAAATGGAACAAAGTCTATTCTTAATTTATCGTGGCTCTAAATTAAAAGCAATTGTTCGTCGTTGGGCGAAAGTAAACCATTGTTTCATCGTTTGCACTATTAGATCATTGATCTTTGCTTTCTCCAGAATGGCATTTTGCTTTTTCTGACGGGATCGCAATTTGTGTGACGGTTTGTTTTGCGGGTGAGGTAACCGTTCTACGTGGGAATTGACTGACACAACCTTTTAATTTGCAGCTCTGCATCCGCTTTTTGTACATTTTCGTATAAATAATTATTTATAACAATAAAAACAAGTGATTTATAAATTACAGTCTGCCTAAAATCGATCGGTTTATTATCATAAACAACTTAAAAAGCGGAAAGCAATAAGCATATTTTGCTATTAAACTTTAAAAGCTTAACGCGTGGGTAATAACCATACTAGGGGGAAATTGTTTCGACATTCATTAATTTCTTTTTCTTATCCAAACTATTTTACTTTTTAGCATTTGTAAAAATTGTACAATTAAAAATAACGTCATTTTGTATTAAATGAATTGAAGTAATTGATAAATGTTGTGGGTGAACGTGGCAACCCTGTTTCCTTTTTTAAAAAAGTCCTACCGTGTACAGAAAATATGGTTAACCAATAATCGTCCTGTATAGAGACAATTTCCGCGCATGCGCCTCAACCATTTGATTAGTCCTTCGGTACACATCAGGTTTGAAATATACAAGTTAATAGTCAAGTACATTTTTGCTTATTATTATCAAGAAAAATTTATAAATGAGTCGCTCGTTCAATCATCATTTGTTCGTGCCACAATTCATACATATCGTTAACGTAATGCTATACAAGCACAATTATTGATTTGGGAGTTTTTCTGTCCACAAATAAACATTAAGTCAAATGTACAGGCCAGGCAAAGCAATTTAAACAAAGAAAAACCAAACTAAATAGAAACCAATTAGCTCCTAAAACGTTTATAAAACAACAAAAAAAAAAAAACAGTGAAATCATGGGGTGCTTAAGTAGTAAAGACCGTTTAACTAAAGAAGACATGGAGTTTTTAAAAACGCATACGAGATATGACGAGGCCACAATTAAAGAGTGGTATAAAGGATTTAAGGTGAGTACAAATATTACCACATCAAGCGAAAAAGTCTCAAATTGTGTACGTTCGTCTCGTTTTTAATATAGCAAGATTGCCCCAACGGCCGATTGACGCCAGCTAAGTTTGTCGATATGTATAAAATGTTTTTCCCCTCGGGAAATGCGGAAGAGTTTTGCGACCATGTTTTTCGTACATTCGATATGGACAAAAATGGATATATTGACTTTAAGGTAATTTTTCGTCAACTAACATTTCTCTGTTCTCAATACAGAGGTTACTGTGTATGTTTTCTTTTCGAACTATGTTGCCTTAGATACACAAAAGAGTACATAAAAGGTGTGCTTATATATCAGGCAGTTAATATTAATTTTTTTTTAATATATGAGAAATATTATTTCAAACAGGAATATGTGCAAGACCCTTTAATATACCTTAGGAATTTCTGGGTAAAGTCGTTTGTACATACTTGGATGCCACTCATTTCATGAATCGAAGTGATCGAATGTATATTGTATATGTGATGAGAATGCATATTGTTTGATTATTGTATAGCTATGTCAGTTTGTGGGCCCCCTTCGCGCATGTTAGTTTAAATAATAAATCAACTAAAATAATGAATGCATACCTCTTGACAGTGAAATTCTTTTCTCTACTGGTTAAAATATTATTTTACTATTTTAAAATTGTTTCGTTTTTTTAGGAATTTTTACTCGCAATAGATGTAACTTCAAGCGGAACACCGGAGGAAAAGTTAAAGTGGGCTTTTCGAATGTACGATGTTGATGGCAACGGTGTTATAGACATACAAGAAATGACCAAAATTGTTCAGGTAGGAACCAAACATAATTTACTCAAGGATGATTAATAAATAATACGAACCTCTAATCCTTCGTTTGTTTTTGATTTTTTGACTTTAAATATAAATTTCTGTGTTCCCAGGCAATTTATGACATGCTAGGAGCGTGCTCATCTAATCGTCCAGCTGATTCAGCAGAAGAAAGAGCAAAAAATATTTTTGCAAAAATGGACGAAAATAACGATGGTCAATTAACCCAAGATGAGTTCTTAAAAGGATGCTTGCAGGACGAGGAGTTGTCAAAAATGTTGGCACCATAAACAATTATATCCTACAATATGTGTGTATTTGATGAAATCAGTAATGAAATGTATAAATATTTAATTTATATTTCTTATACTAAAATTAAACTACTATAAAACTATGAACTCATTAAACTATTTTCAGTGTGTCATTAAAATTAATTCATTAAAAAATTTCATCACATTTAAAAAAGAAAACAAGTACATGTCGTTTATAGTTTTTAAATTATTTGATTTTTGCATTAATCACATTAATAGATGTTTTTCTCAGCTTGGTCTCAATGGCATACGAGTTGATATGTTTTAATAAAGAAATGCATACTGACGATTGGACACTCTTCAAACGGCGAGAGAATCTTTACTTTATTAAGTAAAGGGTTGTAAGAATATTGAAAATAAAAAGTGCTTTCTTTTATATATTCTTTCGATATTAAAGCAAATATTTTACCTTTAGGGTGAATGCCTGGAAAATCTTTAGTTTTTTTTATACTTCTTGAAGTTATTGAAACTCATTATTTGGATAATAGAACCAGATAGCATTATACTTATATATTGCATGGATGGTATGAGGATTTTCCTCATCTGCGGTAGGAAAATATATACTCAAATTATCTGACTTCGGGAAGATGTTAAATCATATCGGGAATGCTTTCGTTTATAAAATTATATGCTTTTAGTCAACTAGTAGTGTTGTTCAACTATATTGCATATAACTATTAAATAAATAAAATATTGAAGTAGAGATTATCTGGTTAATAAAGGTTTACACTGCAGTAAGGTCGTACAATATTCTCCATTGGCAATCTGCTTAATTTGGCTATCCATAAAACAATCAGTCTGCAAGGGTATCTAAACTTCGGTAACCGATGAAAACTATACTTTGTTTTTCCAAAATATAGATGTTAATTTTATATATTATATTGCATTTTAAGATAACTGTATAATGAAATTGTCCTGCAACAATGGGAAAGCAAAATAGTAAACTAAAACCTGAGGTTTTGGAGGATCTCAAACAAAACACAGAGTTCACAGGTAAGTTGATAAGACAAAAGTAAAAAGAAATAATTAACTAAAAAGAAATATATATTTTAGATGCTGAGATCCAAGAATGGTATAAAGGCTTTCTTAAGGACTGCCCTAGTGGGCATTTATCAGTAGAGGAGTTTAAGAAGATATATGGGAACTTCTTTCCATATGGTGACGCCAGCAAAGTAAGACTTGTTTGCATCTTTCTCTATTAATTGGTTTTTAATGAACTTTATTGTTATATTCACACCATATTCAGTTTGCAGAACATGTTTTCCGGACATTTGATGCAAACGGCGATGGCACTATAGACTTTAGAGAGTTTTTATGTGCACTAAGTGTCACATCTCGGGGCAAACTCGAGCAAAAACTGAAATGGGCATTCTCAATGTACGATCTAGATGGAAACGGATACATATCGCGGCAGGAAATGCTAGAAATTGTTACAGTAAGTTACTGAAAATGAAGTCATAGATCATTAAAAACCTTATTTTTTCTTTCTCAAGGCAATATATAAAATGGTCGGGTCGGTGATGAAAATGCCAGAGGACGAGAGCACTCCTGAGAAACGAACCGATAAGATTTTTCGGCAAATGGATCGAAACAAAGATGGCAAATTAAGCTTGGAAGAGTTCATAGAGGGAGCCAAAAGTGATCCATCAATAGTACGATTATTACAGTGTGATCCACAGTCTCATTAACTTAATTACTATTGAAAAGCAAGCAATAATCATTTAAACGTGTATAGAGTAATTGCGAATTAAATTGTTTTGTTTCAGTATGGCCATTATGTATATTTCTTTCTAATAATAAACAATTCTTATAATATTAAATTATAATATTAAATAATATCTATTATGACCGTTCCAAAACACCCATGTTGAGGTTTTAAATTTTTCATAATAAAATGATCATAAAGGAAGCGATTTTTTTTCAATTTACAAATATAAAAGTATTAAGAAAGTAAGTAAACAAAGTTTATTAATCTATATTTGGGTTTTATCTATCAACAGCCAAAATGTTACTACCCAGTTTTATTTATCGTTTTTTGTGTTTGTGTTTAGGAAAATTTACCAAGATTAGATTATGATATCTGATTTGGTCTTTGAATAATTTAATAACTTTTTTATTACCATCGTAAATTTACGGGCTTTGTTTATTTTGTTATTAATCGATTTGTGGCTTATTTGTCTTCCCCTCTAAAAAGTTCCTAATTATTATTTCAAAGAAAACAACTATTATTAACAGAGGGATAAAATAAATTCACTTTATTATTCATTTTGATAACATATATTGCATGCACTAGCAATTTTCAGAGCACTATCATTTTTCTTTTTATTTTTTTTTTTGTTCTTAAATAGCTTGAAGAACCTTGCGGAAGCGATCTAGGACAATGTTTGCATGATATTCCTTAAATATCAAAGCTGGGCGGAATCGAATGGAAATCTCTCCACATCCCCCCGTTTGAATGCCGTTCAACTTCAGGGCGCCAATTATTTGATCTCGCACCTTGGTGTTAGTACAGTTAATGGCCAAAAATGTTCCACGGCCACGTGTGGAGTTCAAGATATGCGGGAATTCCTTCTCAAGACTCAACAATCCATTCTTCAAAACCTTACCAGCCACATCGACATTAGCCAAGAGGTTTTCTTCCTGAATCACCTTAACCACTTCCTCCAAAAGAAGGACCTTTCCTGGATCACCCATCCAGGTGTTGAAGATTCTGTACGGTTCATTCGGAATGAAGTCATCGTTGTGGAAATAGCCCCCCAACTGTAGCTTCTTACTGAAGGTAACAACATCTGGTGGACTCTCCAATTCGAAGTGCTCATGAGCCCAGAACTTTCCGGTGCTACCTCCACCGGTTTGTACTTCATCGATCAAGAGAGCGATACCATTCTTCTTGCAAATTGCCTGCAGACTCCTGAAGAACTCAGGCGATGCTTCGTTGTCACCTCCCTCGCTTTGAATGGGCTCTACGACAATTCCGGCGACAGGATTCTTGCTGGCATATTGCTGAATCAGATCCTGTACTTCGCTAAGGCATTTTTCATCCTCCTTCTTGTTGTGAGCAACGTTTTCGTCCAAAGGATATTTGTATTCGGGAAACGAGGCAATTGGCCAATCAAAGGAAGGAACATCCAGCTTATGAATGTACTTAGAATGTGTGGTAGATAGAGCGCCTAGAGTGCGTCCATGGAATGCTCCCTTGAATGAGAGAATACTTAGTTTTGGAGCTCCTGGCGGAATGTTAATCATGCAAGAGTTTTTCTCCTGCTCGGTAAGGGGTGCATTGCCGCGAAGTTTGTTTTGGTACCTATTGATAAAAATATGATAAAAGTTTACAATGCAATAATATGTATATCTGTTATCTTAACTACCGAAAACACAAATTCCCTATGCTTATAACTCACCAGATAAAGATGCTCTTGTATGCATTTTCATTTGAGCACGAACCACACATCATCGTTGTGATTTTGTTAAGTCCTTTCGGTGCAATGTTCAACAGAACTGAATGTAGTTTTTCTGGCCATTCTTTGCCAGGGAAGACACCAAGTGCAGGTCTGTTGATCAAAGCTAAAAATACATATATATGTGGGTGTATAAGATATAGAAATCCAGATAAAAACAGAGCATGTGAAATGAGAAATCAGTTTTGATACTAATTGACAATCTAAATGAATTTAAAGGTGACCCCCACTTACTTTTCAGGTTTTGCTCGTTGTTAAAGACTTTGAATAATCTGGGATGATTGTAACCCAATGGAACCGAGGAAATTTGTGTGTAGACATCTAGTAATACATTTCCATCAACGTCGGAGATGTAATTTCCAATTGACTTTTCGTAATCAGCAAAGAATTGGATGGTTCCGGTGGCCTATAAAAAACCAATTCGTTTTAATAAATAAATTGCATATGAAAAAAAAGTTATCTTTAAGTGGTCCGATGTCGAAGAAAAGTTCTTAGCAATTTATTTATGCGCTTTTAAACTTTTAAATACTTTTACAGTTGATAGGCAGAAATAAAAATAAAACTCACCTGAACAGAATCCAGTTGCTTTTTAAGCTCAAGTGATTTGGGGCCAGGTATCGATTTAGTTTTTACCAAGGGCTCCTTTGGCTCAGTGTTGGTGGAGTACCGTTTGGTACTCAACCGATATAGACCTAAAAGGAGACCCCATTAGATCCAGTAAAAACCTAGCCATTCTTTTTGCTTACTTTGCTTGGTCAACGTATTTAGCCACAAGCTCCGCATGGTTACTGTCGATTTGAATGCTCCGGGGTTAAGTGAAGGAATTGTTCAATAGGAGGGCCAACAACGACCCACTAATACTTATTTATTAAAGAGAAATGTATATTTACAGAATACAAACATATAGGCTCTTATGTATGCGGGTATATATACACATATCCATGCTCTTCGGCACAACCACACACTCGCAGTTTGGAACTTATCAATTTAGCTTTTGGAATTCATCATGGTTCTGCGTCAATTACATATTTTCGGGTGAAAGTTATGAACAACTCAAGGTTTATGTTAATTTTTGTATAATACACCTATATTTATATATTTTTTATTCTAATAGAGTTTAAAAACTTTTTTAAAATAGATTATTTGGTTTTTTTTTCAGCGTACTCTTTTAACGTTTTAAAAAATAACGGTTTTAATTTCAATGCTGAGATAATTTTTGATAAAAATATAAATTTGGTCAATTCTACTTATTACGTCAAGGATATACACTTTTATTATTTAATTTTATTTTCTTTTATACCATAGATTAATTTTTATGTTGAGGGTGCGAGATTGATAATACATTTATTTCGCATGGAAGGAAAATAACTTGTAAATTATAATAGTTATAATAGTTAATGATAAGCTGGTGTCAGCTGCTCCATGCGGTTTATGTATTTTAAAACATTAATGTTAGAAAAAAAAACTGCCTAAGTCCAAACGCAAATTTTTGTAAAGTGTAGGCCGTTTCGCTACTGATTTTTAAAAACAACATACAAATTAAGAATATGCTTTAAAGAAAAGTGATCAAAGTAAAATCTTAATACAAAATCTTAATTTAAAAAATTAAGTTATTAAATTAATATATATTAAAAATAAAAAAGTGTTCCTTTCCACAGTTTCAAATTTGTTGAATTCAACCAAAGAACATGAAACGCCTCAAAGCTGGCGATATCGATTTTTGTTTTATGTAAATCGATGGCACATGCGGAATGTAAAATAAGACACAGTTGATTCGGAAAACATTGTCGTAATACTATGATAGAAATGAACAAGACTGCAATTGGCATTGCAGCGGGAGTTGCCGGAACACTGTTCATTGGATACTGTATTTACTTCGACAAGAAGCGCCGCAATGATCCCGAGTACAAGAAGAAAGTCCGCGAGCGTAAGAATACTTGTTAGTATATTTAATTATGAAAGAAACTGAACATTTCAACACATTGTAGGTCGCCGTCGCAACAGGAAAACCGGCACTGCCAAACCAGGAATTCCAAATCTAAACGACCATGAAGCCATTGAAAGGTAGGATTCCTCCATGGGATACGCATTATATAATTCGGCACGTGTAGAAGTGCCGATTCATTACACCTCCATTCATACACGCAAATTCATGTTTTCCCAACCAAATCGATGTACATATGTATGTACATATTTTCGTGCATGTGGATGGGTTAACTAAACAAATGTCTTCTTTGCAAAGCAACAATCATGGAATTTTCTCCAATCTCCAATAAGAAAACACATTTACGTGCTTATAAGCCCAAGCTTTTCCTTTTGTGACTCATAAAATGTACCATATTTTAACTTAAATCCAGACATCTGCGATAGCAAAGTTTTATGTTAATATGAAAAGCTGTAACTGGAAGCAAGTAGTAGTTAAGCTTGTGCTTTAGACTTTCGAGTGAAAGGATCTACGAAATATGTTTAAGATGGGCATAAATAATACAAAAAAAGTGTTTTCTTACATGGTATCCATATTTATGTTTGTGCTATCATGTGTACTAAACAGTATTTAATAATGAAATTCCAATCTTTTCAGATATTTCCTACAAGAAATCCAACTGGGAGAAACGCTGATCGCCCGTGGAGATTTTGAAACTGGCGTGGAGCACTTGGCGAATGCCATCGTTGTGTGTGGCCAGCCAGCTCGTCTGCTGCAAGTGTTGCAATCCTCCCTTCCAGCTCAAGTATTCGCGATGCTGATCGTGAAGATGCAGGAGTTCGGGAATCGGGCAGCCGAGGGTAACGATGGGCCAATCTCGTTGGGGCAGAGTTCGGGACAACAGCTTGACGGCGCCAAAATTATAGAGTGTTCATCTGGAAACGCAAATATCGACGACCTTGAATAATACTTGGCGATGGCTAACAGAAAGTGAAATATAGATTTCGACAGTAGAAATTAAGGGCTTCATATATAAACATCATATTTTTTTTATATATTGATTTCTCTGGATGTTCCCAATACATAAAAATAAATATGCGTAAACTGTTAACACTTAACGGTTGTGCTCTTGTTCTGTTCTTTGTTTTGTGTGGTAGTAACGTTAAACGAATATTAAATATCAACTCTACAATGCTATATTTTGTCAAGCATTATCATATGACGGGTATGTTAATGTATGTGAAAGAATATCAACAATAAAAGATTATGAAAATGTTGAAAATATATTGTTTCTTGGTAAATGCTCCTTTTAGTTCTTAAGTTAAGAACTTAATTCAATAATACCTTATGTGCTTAAAACAGGACATTTTTCCATATGCCAGCATTAAACCGGATATGTAAGGAAATACCTACTTTCAAAGTAATAAATACTATTTATTATTTAATTTACCACTATATGAATTCTTACACGACAAAGCTGCCTGATCCTTGGCAAAAGGTCCCTTTAGCCGCTATTTAATAATTGGGTTTTTGCAATTTACCATTATTAAAGTTTATAAAAATTTAACTATAAATTGTTTATAAAAACACATACAATTTTAGCAAGGGTATACAAACAGGAAACATTTTATAACACAGACAGGGGGGTTTTAGTTATATTTGGCCAACGCTTATCACTGACGACCGATAACCGATTAGGCAGAATAAACATTAGTCAGTTCCAAACTTTAGCTTGGAGAGGTCGTGTAAAGAAGAAGCCATGGAGGAGTATACTGATTTAATTGGCAAAATAGGCATATTAAACTTAAACTCTTATTGTTTCAATGAAATATTTCGCCAAATTAAAAGCAACTGCGACTTAGAATGCAGTAAAGATGATCTGTTAAGATACAATGATCTCATAAGCTTTGTGATTAGCAGTGAAGAAGTCACCAAAGCTTTCAGGGACTGGAGTCCTGATCTGTATAACAAACTCTGCTTAGAAAATACATTTTTGAATAGATCACCATGGATAGTGATAGATTTTTCCAACATTTATCAACATATGAATGGCTTATCAGTTAACGAAAGAAAGCTATTCTGGAGTAATTACCTAAATCAAATCACTGAAAACGAGAATTTGAAGTCGGTAAAGTTGGTCTATGAACCCGCAGAACATTACCGCGAACATATGGATAGGTTTGAGGAGCTCACAAACTGCCTCAAAAATAAGTACAAATTGCGAGAGCTTTTTCTTAAAATGAAAGGTGAGTCAATAATATAGATAATCGAAAACAATTCTTATATGTTAACTTTTTAGGATACACCCTGGAGAGTGTTCCCCAGATCAGACATCTGGAAACTCTTTACTTAGACGTTGGAATGAGGACCAACATCCTGGTTCAGTTTTGCCAATTAAATCCAAATCTACGCAAGCTCATTCTGAGTAATAACGAATTATATGGAAGATTGACGGATATAGTGCCATATTGCAATCAACTGGAGCATCTAAGTTTTCTAATGAAACATGAAGTAGATGCCACGGAATATGCAGCTCTCGCCAAACTGCCAAGGCTCAATGAATTAATCCTGCTTGGCCAGCATCAGGAGGGATCGCTACTAAGACTCTTTCAAGGCTTCAGGGACAAGCACATCCACAGGATATGCATACCAGAAACCTATGTTAGCAACGAAGAAGCCTTGGCCCTGACCTCCATCACCTGCTTGGTTTCTCTTAAGTGCTGTTTGCGGGATAATTCCATATACGCTGACTTGCCTCTTACAGGCAACCTAATAGATGTCCGCATTCTAGGTCATCCCAAGCAATACGATTTATATGATCCAATATCAAATGATGAACAAAAAGATCTCTTCAAGGTTACCTATAGAGGTAATACAGATTTGAACAAAATATCTGATGGATACTATCAATCGATGCTCTTGAAAGATCCAAAGTTAATGTACAAAGCCATGGATCAAGATTTCGCCCAAGCTGCGCGACTTTGCTGCGAGGGCTGGTACTCTACAAGCTGTCTGCTAGCTCTAATGCAAATTCAATCACAGTCTCAACTGCGGTTAATCGAGAGGATAGACCTCTATAAGAAAGATCCCATTTCCGAAGAGGAAATTTTAACCTTGGCTTCCATAGCAACGTTAACTGACATTCGATGTTCCATCCTTCAGATAAAACAAATGATTGCGGTGAAACTAAAGCAACTTGAAGGGATGACTGAGACTGAAAACCGAGTGGATCGTATCAGAACTGAATGCCTAGAGATTCGTCTAGTGCATGACCATGGATTCTTGACTCTCATATTGGACTTTTTTGGCAAATATAATTTTTATAATGCAAAAATCTTTGCTCCCTTTGCCAAGCTAAGAAATCTAAAAAGACTAGAGATAAGGGGAAACCATATAACTGGCTCATTTGTGCCATTTTTTAAGGAATTTACTTTACTGGAAACACAAAACCTACGGGAATTGGAAGCTGTAATCATCAGTCCAGCAGAACTCAAAGAGCTGGTAAAGATTCAGAGCTTAAGAATCCTCAAAAGTGGCTTCTTTTGTTCTAGAAATTTCGATCATGTAGCCGAGCTGAATCAACTAGAAAGCCTAACACTTATCGTCCATCCGCAAGGATCTCTGACCAGATTGCTTAAGGATCTTTCTTCTAGAAAAGTTCAAGTACTTAAAAGTCTCTCCATTGAAGGGACAAGACTGAGTACCGAAGAGATTGACGAGCTTGCTGGCATAAGATCTTTGGAGAGACTTCGGCTTGGCCTGCCGGAAGCTAAATATTGGGAACTCAAATCAGGAACTAAGACATCTAACTTAAAAGTTCCTTATTGTCAAAAGTGTCGTCTGCGTGGAAATGCATCTAATTTTGTAAAGCACAAAACTGATTTTCATACTTTGAATGCAGTACCAGATGGAGAAGCCTTAGATGCACAGTATTCTTTTTTAACGGAATTAAATAGTCCCTTAACTCCGATCAACTTTGATCTTTTAGCCAAGTTGCCAAAACTAAATGAACTGCTAATTTATCTTGATTATAAACCACAAGCTGTAGAAAACCTATTGACGACCATAGCCTTACAGTCACCTCAAAAATTACAAAAACTTGCCTTTACATCCCAGGACTTCAGATTGATAACAGCTTTTAAGAACTTACAATCTCTAGAATGCGTTGTTTACCACACCAAAGATATTAATTTTATAGCTGATATCAAAAATCTCACAGAACTACAGATACATAATCCCCTCAGAATATCCCTATGGGCGGTTCTTAAGGAGCTGAAGGCTTTACCAAATCTTCAAAGCTTGCTTTTGGATAATACAGATCTAGATTTTTTAGACATGGTTGAGGTAACAAAAATAACTTGGCTAAAACGTATAAGACTTGGTCTCGCTGATAAAATATTTATCTTTTTTCTGATCCAACTGAAAGATCTTGAAGTCATGGAAATCACATCAACTCATTTCGCTGCCAAAAATGAAAGCAACTTTGTTTATTCGTTTTTGGTAACTTGCAAAAATATTAGATCAATGTCCCTCTATAGATACTATGACTTCTTCAGCAAGGACTATGTCAATGGGATCCTGAACACTATTAAACTTTTTAGGGATCCCGCTGAGCACCCGCCGTTCAAATTATGTGGAATTTGGAGTGATTTTAACAGTTTGAAACAGGTTAGTTTCCTATTTTAATAAAATTCGTTCTTTCCATAAACCTAATCTAAATTTTATACTTCAGTTGGACATGTATAATGAGGACTTCTTGGTATTGGAGCGGTGCGATAGCATTTATGAAAGTAATCAAGAATCCGAAGAAGATTTGAAATTTTCGAGAGTTTATTCTTTGAATGATAGCCTAGAATAAAAGGCAATGACAAAAAGTAGTTTTAGAAGTGTATAAAATTTGTCTCCTGTAAAATTACCAGAATCTTGTAAAGAAAAAGTAATATTATAAAAAACTCTACCGGAGTTTTTAATTAAGGTTAATTCTTTATCGTAAATGCGTAGAAAATTCAAATTCTCAGGATGGCGCCACTAACCTACGATAAAAAGGATCCATTTTCAATGAGTTGGCAGTCCAAAGGCCTTACAGAATTCCGCAAGGATGGAGCCATAAAAACGGCATTCATTAAAATGAGTTGGCAGTGCCGTAGGCTTTAAAAATCTCGCAGAAGGGCGCCAAAAATATATTTTTGCTAAAGTTTCTACTAAAATTTCCCACATAAAATATATTTATGACTGCACATTTAGCTTAAATCAAAAACTCTTAAAGGTTACGTATTTAAATATTTCTATGTTAACATTTATTTAATGTTTTCCAGGTTCAGTTGTCATAATTTCTTGCCTATCAGATTTTTCAGATAGATTTTACATTACACTTCTGCTTACAAAGTTATCCAAAAAATAAATATATAAAAGCAACGAATAAGATTAAGACCAGCTTTTGCACTTGATGGCTTATAATGCTTACAACACTTATGTTACCCACCATTCGGTTAACGCACACTCTTCTAGTTTAGACAACAAACAACTTAAAGAAAAATATGATATAATATTAATTATTACCTTTCTTATTGATAGTTTTTCTCATTTTTGGGAGTATAAACTGCATCTTCAATAGACATTTCCCACTTTTACAAAAATAAACAGGCAATCACTTGGCTTGCACAATCATTCACACTTAAGCTTTTATAATCTAAGTCAACATCTTTGCATTTTGAAATCCTTAGCTTGAGTATATTCTCGGAGATTAATATTTGGGTCTTCAGACTATTTAGGACAGCTGAGAATCAAACCGAAAGCATTAATACCCTAGACACTTTATAGTTATAGATATATGTATAGTATTAAGTACATCAGGAGTAGTATTGCCTATAGTTCGAAGTTTACGCTTGCTATTAATTGGAATCTTTGTTTACATTTTTTATATCTTGAGCTTTGAATATATAATCGGAAAAGTTCACAATTCACCTATCTTACTAGCCATATCGAAGCTCTAAAAATGTTTGAAAACAATTTATAGAATGATACAAGTTGTTTGCTCTTCCATTGCTATTTTTTAAAGGTCAAAATTGCCCTATTTAATCGGAATATATTCAAGTTAATCGGTCATTTTATACTCTTTTCTTCGACAAATGTTTTTTACTTTCAACTTTGTAAAACCTTTGAAATTCTGGCAACTTTTTCACAATTTCCTCATCAGAACTGGAATCCTAAGATCTTTAAATATAAATATTTTTCCAATTAATGAATAAATAAATATTAGATATGGCTGTGTAGAATGTAGAGTTCCAAATCCTTATAAAAGTACATTCCCCTTAGATATTTTCGAGCAGTGCATCTGGCGTCTGAGGATCTGTGGTCATCTCGTCGCTGATATCGCCCACTGAACTGGTGACTGTGGACAGGATCGAGGATATGGTGGCGTTGATAATCTCGGCACTACCACTAGCCACCGTGCTATAGAGCGCCAAAGCCGTAGTGGTTATCACGGTGGCCAGTGCCGGACTGGCGGTGCTGGTGGTGGAACTGGAACTACCAAGCGTAGCCAGCGTGGTGTTGAGCAGGAGTGGTGCCAGCGTGGTGGCCCCAGTGGTTGGTGGACTCATCGTACTGGTACTAGTCAGCGGTAATGGATGTGGTAGATGGCCATGTCCGTGTCCGTGGCCATGGAACTGCTCCAGCATCGAGGCGGGCACATAGGGATATGAGGGACATGGATTCACCAGCTGTGGACCCAGCATGCTCTCGAAAACGTATCCAATCAGAGAGCCCACCGTCAGACCCACATTATACGATAGGGTCATTATATTGCCAGTGACCTCCTTCAGAGTTCCCGGTACCTTTGCCGGGGCCAACATCATGGGCAGACTTCCAGCCAATCCATTGGTAATACCCAAAGCTATGGTGAAGACAAATGGCGCTGTTTCGCCGGAGATCACGGGACGCTGTCGTGGTGCACAGCAAAGGAGCAGGAGCGGCACTAGTACAATCCGTAACCCGGACAGCAGGATCAGCTGTCGCCGCGACCAAGGATATGGGCTAGCGGCCAAGATCTTGCCCACGACGTCCGACGTGTTAAAGCAAAACATCAACAGCACGGGCATCCAAGATCGAAGGGCGCAGGATTGCACTTCCACCTCGATTCCCGGATACAAGGATAGAGTCACGCAGTAAGCCAGAGCGATGCAGACCATGTGCGGATAGATCACCTGGGCCACGCGCCATCGTGCCGCAAATCCCTCGCGGATGTCTCCCAGCTTGCTTGGCCGGCAACGGCGTGGGGTGATCACGTGCTCCACCTTGGAAAAAGATTTGTTTATGTTTAAAAATGTTAATAATAATATATATATAATATACCTTGAAAGCCACCGTTGTGGGCGTTGTGGGCTCCTGGGCGGGAGGCGTGGCCGGTAGCTCAGGTAGTTGTCCCAATGCTTCGATGCTACTTTCGCCGGCTGTCGGATTGGATAGCTCATAGACGGGATTGCTGAAACTGAGCGTATTCCCAGTGCCTGGAGGTCCCACCGATGTGGTCGTAGTATGGGTCCCATCCATCGAGAGTACTCCATATCGAGTACTACTTGGTACACCGTCAATATCCTGCTGTATTAGAGAATATTAGTCTAGCAATGTCTCTTGACTTGGCAATTGGTAAGTAGAAAAAAGGGTGTCTGTTAGTCGGGACATTCAACCATAGTGCACCTCCAGATAAAAAGCGCAAAATAAGAAAGCTTAAAATTCGCTAGATGCAAACCCAGTTTGTTCGAATCGCTTTGGCAGATGAGTACTCCAACGGACTGTGACGATAATAAGAAGATAAGTTAACAGAGCCAAACAAAGAATCTATATGGTGGAAAGAGGAAGAAGATCTTTCCATATGTCTAATAAAGTAAAAACATGAATGCAACGCGAACAATCTTTGATCTAAACACTTTTTGTTTATTTGAGATATTTGATTGGATTAAAACAAATCGAATAGATCATTTGGCAAGAAACCAAAGGTCATGGAACATGATATGAAAGTTAAAGCAACACGCAGGACCCTGGATGAGGCTGATATGGTTTCTGTAGAATATTTTACTGGTGATCTATCAATTACTCCGGACAACTTGGAACTCTTGGCCCAACTGCCACACCTAAAGCAACTGTCTATCCATGTTGTGTGTTATGAACATTGCCTTGTGAAGCTTATAGAAGCTTACGCTATGCCAAATCATAAAAAATTGATTAAATTATCCTAAACATTAAACCCAATTAAAGTCATAGAGTTTGATCAATTTATGGAGGGAATTGAAAATATTTCTTTACTCGAAAGACTAACTGAATTACATATAGAAAATCCATAGGGATTCCCTTTGGGAAGACTTCTTGATTTACTCAAAACTAAAATTGAGCAGCCCCCTGAAGACATTTTTCGAAGAGGGAACAATTTGAAAATCCTTGCCGCGACAACACCTTTGTCAAAATCATATATTGCTAAAGACTCACCTCATCTGGCCGCAAGACGATTTTCGAGCAGGCCTCCACATGGAACCGCACAAAAGGCGAATTGATGGTTGCCACATGCAACAGGTAGCTGAAGAGTATGTAAAGCGTCGAGGTCAGAAAGAAGATGACCGTGGACACGCGATCGTTGTTGATCAATAGTTTGGTAACGACACGATTGGAAGACACCAAGAATCCTGCAATACTTTCACCAGCCATCACCGCCTGGGTATATTGTTTGGGCAGCATCGAGGCAAATCCATAAAAGCTCGACTGCTGCACAGTGCATCCGATGGCGGTCAAAGCTACCGCTGACATATTAACTAGATACGCGGTATTCGTGGCAAACATGTGCCAAGCCACCTCACAAACGGCCACAAAGATCAGTGTGGTAAAGGATATCATGTAGCCAAAGAGCACACGAGACTGGAACGGAGCCACCGATAACACTATGTTGTTCATCAGCACAGTGGCGAAGGCCACGAAGATATACGTCATCGACATGTCTAACGCCACCGGACGACCCGGAAATCGCGCCTGCCAGTAGTCCGCGGCAATGATAAAACTGCAAAGGAATAAAATGTTGTAATTAGTAAAAAGTATTTATTTTTATAGTTAAGTTTAAGTATTTGTAAGTTTTTATTTAAAAATCGATTTGCTTTTAATATTTTAATAATACGATTTAAAATGGTTTCCCCTTTAAGAAAAAGTCGAGAAATCTTCATGTCTGTTTTACATTTTTTAAAATACAAAAATAGCAAAGAGTTACCACAATTGAAGGACTTATCATCCACATACTGCTTACCTATTGTAGGGTAAAACAAATCCAATGCCCGCTGCCAGGAGAGCCAGATAGACGGAGTGCCTCTGATCCTTGGGGGCACGAGTATCAAACTCGGGACTGTCCATACTGCCAGGATGCCTCAGTCCCGAACCAGTTGTGGAATGACTGCTCCTCGAACGCCCAGAGCCCCGTCCATCCAGCGGTTCGTAAGTGGTTTCCTGCCCACCCACATCCATGCTCTTGTACCTTCTTAGTTTTCGTAACTATTTTCGGTGGCAAATCCCTTTTTAATTGTTGCCTGCTCTTAGATGACCCAATGTACGTTGGACCTTGGCATTATTTTCCAGATTGGCCACTTAGTGGGCGTGATGGCTCTGTTGTTTTGCCTGCGGTATTCACATACAGGGTGCGGATTTCACGGCAAGAGTTATACACAAATCGATACAAAAAGAAAGGAAACAGACACACAAGTGGCTGCCCTCGCAATTAGCCACTACGCATTTTTATTCCACCAATACTAAGCTGCTTTGATTATGTTTTTAAATTAAATTAATCCCTAGGGGAAACACTTATTTACTGGATTTATTTTAACCGCTTTTCGGGAGACATCTGCTTGCCAGCTTTCGCTTGTCAAAGTCCTGGCACTTTTCTCACCACGCCCGCCACTGCGCATGTGGCGTATGATTGATTTTACATAACTGACCAAATCAGCCTGTTGTTGTTTGGTCGGCTACCATAGAATGATAAACTTAGCTTTGAATGAACACCTTCTACTTTTTCTCGTTGCATCTTTTCCTACCTACTGGTCATCCGATTCGATCTTGATTTTTAAAAGGGTCTAGATCATAGTCGAAATATTCTTTGCATATAATCTCTAGCAGAATATATAGCCAGGACAAAAGTTGCCAAGAAGCTACAGTATATATAAGGGAGGATTAGTTTGAAACAGGTGATTACCAATAGATGATATAGTTTTCAGCAATACACCGTTAATGAATTAAAAGTAATCATTGATATCGAAAACCCTTCTCCCATCTATTATTTAAGCAGTGAAATATTCCAAAAAAGTTTTTATAATAAATTGACATATATTTAATATTGGTTAAAATAGTTTTCATATAACAATCATTTGATTAATATAATATTCAGTATTAAATTAACAGAATTTATCGAGCTAAAAAAGCTTATATTAATTTTGTGACCAAAAATTAAAGCATTTAAGGAAAATTAAAGCATTTAACAAGAAATTCAATAAACAACATTTACCAATATCAAACATTTTCAGGATGCTCGAAAACAACAATATTAATTTTGTATATAGAATACTTTATGTTTGAATAACCTCAACGGAATGAGCTTTTATAAAGAAATATAGTATGTAGGCGTTATCAGTGATTCTTTTTCGATGCATCATCGTAGCTGGGTGGCAAGTTCTACAGGTTAGATCAATAAATCAGAATAAAACATTGTTAAGAAGGAATTTGTATTAAACTTACCATATATGAAGGCGGTAAATCACTGTTTCCTGATCCACTGGGTCCTCCTTGGTTATAGGGTGTGTTATAAGCACTTGCTGCAGCCTCTGCCTCTTTGGAATCTGTTCAAAATATAAGAATTTTTAAGTCCTAAGGAATATAATCTATTTAGTAATAATTATCATAAACTTTAAGTAGACACCTTTACTCTTAATAACTCTTACAATTTGTGTTTATGGTATCAGAGCTGGGAGCAGCACAACACACATGGGTCTTTGGATTGGATAGAAATAATGATGAGTGCTGCCAAATCTTGCTACTAAAGGTTCGCATTTTGTGGGTGGTAAAGAAAAAGTTGAAGAAGAAACCATTAAACAAGTCACTAAACCAAACGGGGTTATACTAAGCTACTTAAAGACTCGGCTTTTGTTAGTAATTGCTTTGGGCATAAATAACAATAACATCGAAACCAAAAATCTTACTTGTCGGGATGGCTATTTGAGGTACAGTAGTTTGCTTTTTATTACACTGTAAAATAGGTCAAAAGAAAAATTGTTTTCTTTTAGGATTGGAAAATGATTTTGTTCGGTTTAGTAGTTGGTTAAATTGAGTTTTGGATATTAGGTGTGAAAACTAAAGTACTGAAATTAAAATTTGTTATTTAAAAGAAAAGATTTTTACAGGTTAAACCCACAAACTTATTATTTTAACTTTTTTATACACACTATTAACAACTGAACAATTTTATAAGCTAGGGAAATATACAAAGAAAAAACTAGAGATGCCTTGATTATGTTAGTCTTGAATCTTCTTTGATCTATAATCATGCTTGAAACTTCTTAATGCTTCTTGATTATATATTGCATCTTAATGCCAAATAAAATATAAAGCTTCCATTTTAAATCTTCCTTAAATATATTTCAAATAGTTCTTGAATTAGTTCTTCAATTTACTTTATGATTCTGTTTTTTCTTCTGCAATAATAAAACCAATTTAATAATGTGCATAATAGGAGGGGAATGTTAAGTAAATGATGGGAAATATAATTAGTTTAAGGATGAGTTCTACTCACTTCCTGGTGGCAAGCTGAAACCCATAAAGTTAGCTCCAGATGCAGCAGCTCCTCCGGCTGCTCCTGCTGCTTGTTGAGCCGGAGGCGGTGGTCCACCTGGATAGCCATTAGGATACCCAGCTGGCTGTTGAAGTCCCGGAGTGTTAAATCCACCGGGAACATTTCCGTAACCTCCATAAGGCTGTGGTCCAGTGTACGTTTGAGCCGGGGCGGCGTAAGGCGGTCCAGGTGGACAGTTAGGAGCACAGGATGCGTACGGCGGGGGCTGAACATAGCCACCAGCCCATCCTTGGGGCCCATAACCTGGCTGCTGTTGTTGCTGCTGCGGTGGAGGTGCTGAAAAACCGTACCAATTGGGTTCATTCGATGACGGTCCCTGCGGCTGTTGTGGTGCTGGTGGCTGTTGTGCCGGTGGTGCTAAGATGATAAAGAGAAAGGAGTGCCCCAGTGGGTTAAACGAAGCGAGTGCCGAGCGTGAATTTCGTGATAAAGCCATATATTGCCAATTCGCGTTGCAGTGCCAGAACAAAAGCCGAGTGTTGGTTGGGCAGAATGCCAGCCAGATTAACTTACCGATCCCGGGATATGGCGGCGGATTGTCGCTCATAAACACCGTATTCGGTGCAGGGCCACTGAAGGCATCGTGCTGCGGCAACCAGCCGTAGTAACCAGGTGGCGGCTGATAGGCTGGTGGTGGAGCCTCGTTCCAAGCGCCAGCCGGCTGGTATGGTGGAGGATCATCACCGACCAGTCCTCCGCGATGATAGTTGTTCATTGCCGTCTTGGCGGAGCGCAATAGGGCCTGGCCATATCTAAAAAAAATAGATATAGTAGAATCAATTTATATTGAAAATGAACCCAAAATAAGCTTACTCGATGGCACCACCGGCCTTGAAATGAAGCTTGAACTTGACTTCGCCGACGTAGTTCCCATTTGGCTGAGCGCGGACCTTTCCCTTGATGTAGTTAGCCCCAAACACCGGCTGTTCAATCTCCACATCTGAGAGGGCAACAAATGGAGCACTGAAGGACTGCATCGCATCCGAGGACTTCTTGCTGTTGAAGATCATCCGATGGGAGGTGAGATAAATCCTGCCCCCTTTCGAGCCCTTGAAAATGGGATTATCTTGACCAGAAAACTCCATCGAAACGCTGTCGCTGTGGAGCAGTATGCTAGAAGGAAAGAGGAATCGCTGGTCAATGGGCTATACATATTCCCAATAAATCACCAGACACACGCCAGTGTTTACATTTATGACGTCAGGATGTCTAGAATTTTCATTGGTAATTCAAGGAGTTTTTTTTGTGCATTTTTTCAGATTTTTCGTAAAATTTTATGATGCGAAAATCGCTCTGTCCCGATATGTGTCTCAAAATATCAGTATTTTCCTCATTACAAAGCCAATGTTGATCGTACCATGGAATGTTATATCTTGTTGAGTTCGTATTTAAATTCCCCGTCGAACTGTGTACCACACTCAAAAGTGCATTTTTTCAGATTTTTCGTAAATTTTTATGATGTTACCCCTTTCCAAAAATGCGAAAATCGCTCTGTCCCGATATGTGTCTCAAAATATCAGTATTTTCCTCATTACAAAGCCAATGTTGATCGTACCATGGAATGTTATATCTTGTTGAGTTCGTATTTAAATTCCCCGTCGAACTGTGTACCACACTCAAAAAGTGCATTTTTTCAGATTTTTCGTAAATTTTTATGATGTTACCCCTTTCCAAAAATGCGAAAATCGCTCTGTCCCGATATGTGTCTCAAAATATCAGTATTTTCCTCATTACAAAGCCAATGTTGATCGTACCATGGAATGTTATATCTTGTTGAGTTCGTATTTAAATTCCCCGTCGAACTGTGTACCACACTCAAAAAGTGCATTTTTTCAGATTTTTCGTAAATTTTTATGATGTTACCCCTTTCCAAAAATGCGAAAATCGCTCTGTCCCGATATGTGTCTCAAAATATCAGTATTTTCCTCATTACAAAGCCAATGTTGATCGTACCATGGAATGTTATATCTTGTTGAGTTCGTATTTAAATTCCCCGTCGAACTGTGTACCACACTCAAAAAGTGCATTTTTTCAGATTTTTCGTAAATTTTTATGATGTTACCCCTTTCCAAAAATGCGAAAATCGCTCTGTCCCGATATGTGTCTCAAAATATCAGTATTTTCCTCATTACAAAGCCAATGTTGATCGTACCATGGAATGTTATATCTTGTTGAGTTCGTATTTAAATTCCCCGTCGAACTGTGTACCACACTCAAAAAGTGCATTTTTTCAGATTTTTCGTAAACTTTTATGATGTTACCCCTTTCCAAAAATGCGAAAATCGCTCTGTCCCGATATGTGTCTCAAAATATCAGTATTTTCCTCATTACAAAGCCAATGTTGATCGTACCATGGAATGTTATATCTTGTTGAGTTCGTATTTAAATTCCCCGTCGAACTGTGTACCACACTCAAAAAAGTGCATTTTTTCAGATTTTTCGTAAATTTTTATGATGTTACCCCTTTCCAAAAATGCGAAAATCGCTCTGTCCCGATATGTGTCTCAAAATATCAGAATTTTCCTCATTACAAAGCCAATGTTGATCGTATCATGGAATGTTATATCTTGTTGAGTTCGTATTTAAATTCCCCGTCGAACTGTGTACCACACTCAAAAAGTGCATTTTTTCAGATTTTTCGTAAATTTTTATGATGTTACCCCTTTCCAAAAATGCGAAAATCGCTCTGTCCCGACATGTGTCTCAAAATATCAGTATTTTCCTCATTACAAAGCCAATGTTGATCGTACCATGGAATGTTATATCTTGTTGAGTTCGTATTTAAATTCCCCGTCGAACTGTGTACCACACTCAAAAAGTGCATTTTTTCAGATTTTTCGTAAATTTTTATGATGTTACCCCTTTCCAAAAATGCGAAAATCGCTCTGTCCCGATATGTGTCTCAAAATATCAGTATTTTCCTCATTACAAAGCCAATGTTGATCGTACCATGGAATGTTATATCTTGTTGAGTTCGTATTTAAATTCCCCGTCGAACTGTGTACCACACTCAAAAAGTGCATTTTTTCAGATTTTTCGTAAATTTTTATGATGTTACCCCTTTCCAAAAATGCGAAAATCGCTCTGTCCCGATATGTGTCTCAAAATATCAGTATTTTCCTCATTACAAAGCCAATGTTGATCGTACCATGGAATGTTATATCTTGTTGAGTTCGTATTTAAATTCCCCGTCGAACTGTGTACCACACTCAAAAAGTGCATTTTTTCAGATTTTTCGTAAATTTTTATGATGTTACCCCTTTCCAAAAATGCGAAAATCGCTCTGTCCCGATATGTGTCTCAAAATATCAGTATTTTCCTCATTACAAAGCCAATGTTGATCGTACCATGGAATGTTATATCTTGTTGAGTTCGTATTTAAATTCCCCGTCGAACTGTGTACCACACTCAAAAAGTGCATTTTTTCAGATTTTTCGTAAACTTTTATGATGTTACCCCTTTCCAAAAATGCGAAAATCGCTCTGTCCCGATATGTGTCTCAAAATATCAGTATTTTCCTCATTACAAAGCCAAAGATGATCGTATCATGGAATGTTATATCTTGTTGAGTTCGTATTTAAATTCCCCGTCGAACTGTGTACCACACACAAAAAGTGCATTTTTTCAGATTTTTCGTAAATTTTTATGATGTTACCCCTTTCCAAAAATGCGAAAATCGCTCTGTCCCGATATGTGTCTCAAAATATCAGTATTTTCCTCATTACAAAGCCAATGTTGATCGTACCATGGAATGTTATATCTTGTTGAGTTCGTATTTAAATTCCCCGTCGAACTGTGTACCACACTCAAAAAGTGCATTTTTTCAGATTTTTCGTAAACTTTTATGATGTTACCCCTTTCCAAAAATGCGAAAATCGCTCTGTCCCGATATGTGTCTCAAAATATCAGTATTTTCCTCATTACAAAGCCAATGTTGATCGTACCATGGAATGTTATATCTTGTTGAGTTCGTATTTAAATTCCCCGTCGAACTGTGTACCACACACAAAAAGTGCATTTTTTCAGATTTTTCGTAAATTTTTATGATGTTACCCCTTTCCAAAAATGCGAAAATCGCTCTGTCCCGATATGTGTCTCAAAATATCAGTATTTTCCTCATTACAAAGCCAATGTTGATCGTACCATGGAATGTTATATCTTGTTGAGTTCGTATTTAAATTCCCCGTCGAACTGTGTACCACACTCAAAAAGTGCATTTTTTCAGATTTTTCGTAAATTTTTATGATGTTACCCTTTCCAAAAATGCGAAAATCGCTCTGTCCCGATATGTGTCTCAAAATATCAGTATTTTCCTCATTACAAAGCCAATGTTGATCGTACCATGGAATGTTATATCTTGTTGAGTTCGTATTTAAATTCCCCGTCGAACTGTGTACCACACTCAAAAGTGCATTTTTTCAGATTTTTCGTAAATTTTTATGATGTTACCCCTTTCCAAAAATGCGAAAATCGCTCTGTCCCGATATGTGTCTCAAAATATCAGTATTTTCCTCATTACAAAGCCAATGTTGATCGTACCATGGAATGTTATATCTTGTTGAGTTCGTATTTAAATTCCCCGTCGAACTGTGTACCACACTCAAAAGTGCATTTTTTCAGATTTTTCGTAAATTTTTATGATGTTACCCCTTTCCAAAAATGCGAAAATCGCTCTGTCCCGATATGTGTCTCAAAATATCAGAATTTTCCTCATTACAAAGCCAATGTTGATCGTATCATGGAATGTTATATCTTGTTGAGTTCGTATTTAAATTCCCCGTCGAACTGTGTACCACACTCAAAAAGTGCATTTTTTCAGATTTTTCGTAAATTTTTATGATGTTACCCCTTTCCAAAAATGCGAAAATCGCTCTGTCCCGACATGTGTCTCAAAATATCAGTATTTTCCTCATTACAAAGCCAATGTTGATCGTACCATGGAATGTTATATCTTGTTGAGTTCGTATTTAAATTCCCCGTCGAACTGTGTACCACACTCAAAAAGTGCATTTTTTCAGATTTTTCGTAAACTTTTATGATGTTACCCCTTTCCAAAAATGCGAAAATCGCTCTGTCCCGATATGTGTCTCAAAATATCAGTATTTTCCTCATTACAAAGCCAAAGATGATCGTATCATGGAATGTTATATCTTGTTGAGTTCGTATTTAAATTCCCCCGTCGAACTGTGTACCACACACAAAAAGTGCATTTTTTCAGATTTTTCGTAAATTTTTTATGATGTTACCCCTTTCCAAAAATGCGAAAATCGCTCTGTCCCGATATGTGTCTCAAAATATCAGTATTTTCCTCATTACAAAGCCAATGTTGATCGTACCATGGAATGTTATATCTTGTTGAGTTCGTATTTAAATTCCCCGTCGAACTGTGTACCACACTCAAAAAGTGCATTTTTTCAGATTTTTCGTAAACTTTTATGATGTTACCCCTTTCCAAAAATGCGAAAATCGCTCTGTCCCGATATGTGTCTCAAAATATCAGTATTTTCCTCATTACAAAGCCAATGTTGATCGTACCATGGAATGTTATATCTTGTTGAGTTCGTATTTAAATTCCCCGTCGAACTGTGTACCACACACAAAAAGTGCATTTTTTCAGATTTTTCGTAAATTTTTATGATGTTACCCCTTTCCAAAAATGCGAAAATCGCTCTGTCCCGATATGTGTCTCAAAATATCAGTATTTTCCTCATTACAAAGCCAATGTTGATCGTACCATGGAATGTTATATCTTGTTGAGTTCGTATTTAAATTCCCCGTCGAACTGTGTACCACACTCAAAAAGTGCATTTTTTCAGATTTTTCGTAAATTTTTATGATGTTACCCCTTTCCAAAAATGCGAAAATCGCTCTGTCCCGATATGTGTCTCAAAATATCAGTATTTTCCTCATTACAAAGCCAATGTTGATCGTACCATGGAATGTTATATCTTGTTGAGTTCGTATTTAAATTCCCCGTCGAACTGTGTACCACACTCAAAAAGTGCATTTTTTCAGATTTTTCGTAAATTTTTATGATGTTACCCCTTTCCAAAAATGCGAAAATCGCTCTGTCCCGATATGTGTCTCAAAATATCAGTATTTTCCTCATTACA